TGATAAGGTTTTGTGATCTTTGCCGTTCTTCCAGTGTTTGTGTGGGCCGTATACGAGTACGGAAGAGAATGTCCATGCATACCCGGCAGTTGTACCTGAGTTGTCGGGTTCTTTCTGATGCATCTAATGGCTTCTCCTCGCCTGTTGAAGGAAGCTTGTATTCCCGTTACTCGCCAGTAGGTACGACCGCATCGGGTATTCTAGCTATATGGCGGCAGGATGTTACCGATGATTGACCCAAAGAAACCGGTGATTGACGATTTGACGGCAGAATGTAACTTAATGGTTGGACAAGACTCAGTATTTCATCTATGTGACTGTAGGGTGTTACCGACTATTGGACCAAACAATTGATATTCTGATCAATGTAACGATGAAAGCATTCACCAAGGCCATCCAGCGGAACCACCCGATCCGTTGCAGGATGCCGGGTACATTTTCTAACCAGGTCCCCATGACAACAATGAGCCCTTAAGTTGCTCCTGACCTGATGTCTGTATACTATTTCGTCACTGAGACTTATCTTGTATAGCTTGTTGAGGGGGCGGTAGGGTAGCCTAGTGGTTACAGCGTTCGCTCGATCCGGGTTCGATTCCCCACATAGGCACAGTGTTTGAAGCCCATTTCTGGTATCCCCGTCGTGATATTGCTGGACTATTGCTAAAAGGGACGTAAAACCATACCCACTCACTCACTATACCTTGTTGATTATTTACTATGCATTTTACTTGAATTTGAGACAAGCAGAGTGTGGCCCTTAAACCTTGCTTTCGATAACTATTCAAAGTAACCACAAAGTAACATTCGAAATTATTTATTCAAACATCGTCTTAAACGATATATCGAGTACGCGAAATTCGAGTAAATATAGGTTTTCATTGTTCTCCGACATTCTGTGCACATAATTAAAACCAGATCTGAGCAGAGATATTTATTTTGCTTATTCCTTTCGCATATGGCAATTAGTCGTTCGTTTCATCTCCCGCCAGGTAATTATGTGCAGTCGGTGTAAGGTGTGTGAGATACACCAGTCTCGACATGTTCAATAGAGAAAGGTGTGTGTGTGGAGTGTTCCGGAAGGCAATGCCTACAATCCTGTGTTAACACTCAGAGTGGTCTGGCCGGGGGGAGGCGGGGGAACAACAAGCCCTGGGTTGTTTGTCAGAACGGAGATAACTCCATATCCCCGTAAGTGAACAGGGCATTCTTGGTGGTATGAATTACATTCCCAATCAGTGTCGTGTTCCCGTCTATCTGCATCCGGAGATAATCGTGAGTGCAGTGAATGCACTGTTGTCAGAGTGCCCGGAATCTCACTAACACAGTTTTCATCAGCCTTCGTAAGAATGTTCATAATTACTGAGTGAGTGAGTTTAGTTTTTCGCCGCTTTTAGCAATATTCTAGCAATATCACGGCGGATGACACCAGAAAGAGCTTCACACATTGTACCAATGTGGGGAATGGAACCCGGGTATTCGGCGTGACGACCGAACACTTTAACCATTAGGCTAACCCACCGCCCCTCATAATTACTGCGCTTTCACTGTGTCATTGATGGACAATATCAACATAGACTAACATGCAGTCTCCAAAATGAACGTATTTTACTAAAAACTATGTTAATATAATACAATAAATAGGAGGCCAGAGACTTTCTTCATTTTCAGATGCTGTGATAATCTAGATTTGCCACACTAACGGGATCGGGTGGTCAGGCTCGCTGACTTGGTCGACACGTCATCGTATCCCAGTTGCGTAGATCGATGGTCATGCTGTTGATTACTGGATCATCTGGTTCAGACTCGAACATTTACAGACTGCCGCTTTATAGCTGGAATATTGCTGAGAGCGGCGTAAAACTAAACTCACCCACTCGCTTTAGACTTGCATGGGCTGCATTGGGTATATTGATTTGACAGACTGATATCGCCTTTGCGCCCTGTCATGTACCATCAGTGCCCTATTACAGCGCCATAAGAAAATAATGCGGCGCAATCGTGATATACATGTATATGCGACGTTATAACGGTACTGATGCAGCGTAATAACGGTATTAGTGCTGATGATAATGCTTACAAAACCGCAGATCTTCGCGGCGCTAGGCAGCACTACCACGAATTTCGGGATACAGTCGCGGGTATACCGGGGAAACAGTACACCAAACAATTTTTGTATTTAACATGTCTGTGTAACTGATTATGCTACCATGAAGAACCTCGTTTTTCAGAACAAAAACGTCATTCAAACTAACCAAACTTGATCTAGGGCTTGAAGTCAGTGGCGACATTCTTTGTATATATACATAGAAGACCGGCTGACCTTTACTGCCGCAGATGTTCAACGTTTCCTTGAGATTAAAGGCTGAAACAAGATCCAATAAATGCTAAGAGATTTCCTGGCATATATCAATATATCTATCTGAAGTTGTCTTTGTATATTCGTACCCGTGAAGGTCCGGGTTAGAATATTGATCTTCAGTAACCCATGCTTGTCGTAAGAGGCGACTAACGGGATCGGGTGGTCAGGCTCGCTGACATGGTTGACACGTGTCATCGTATCCCATTTGTGCAGATCGATGCTCATGCTGTTGATCACTGGACTGTCTGGTCCAAATCCGATTATTTACATACCGCCGCCATATAGCTGTAATATTGCTGATTGCGGCGTAAATCTAAACTCACTCACTCACTCACTATGTATATTCGAAGAACGTTTGATCGTTTCCTGCTGCATGCGACTTTAGATTGCTTGTCAGTGTTGATGTGGGATGAGGCAAATATACGGTTAAACCAAGTCAGTAATGTATAATTTACCTTTTAATTCGTTCAATGTAGCATTGAATGTATACAATCTAGTATTAAATATTTACAATTTAAGCATTTGATATGTACAATCTACCATTGAATATGTGCATTGAATGTGTACAATTTACCTTTGGATATGTACAATTACCTTTGAATATGTACATTGAATATGTACAATTTTGCATAGAATTTGTACAGTTTAGCATTGAATATGTACAGTTTAGCACTGAATATGTACAATTTTTAGCATTGAATATGTATGTACAATATGTACCATTGAATATGTACAGTTTAGGATACAGAATAGCACAGAATTGGACAACTTAGCATTGATTATGTACAATTTACCATTGACACCGGGATGAATAGATTACTCATAGTCTTTTTAAAAGAATTTTTCATTCACTTTCCCGTTCATCTGTCCACTAAGGCTGTCGAACGACGTCACATACGTCTGTCTGTTACAGCGTGACCAAGTCGGCAACCTCGGTCAAAATATTTGCAAACAGGCATAGATGTAATGTCACATCGTTATTATTCCAATTGCAATCTATGTAATGTATGGGGGAAATAGCTTGAACATGTCATTCAGCATACGGGGCGGTAGGGTAGCCAAGTGGTTAAAGCGTTGGCTTGTCACGCCGAAGACCCGGGTTCGATTCCTCACATGGGCGCAATGTTTGAAGCCCATCTGCGGTGTCCCCCGCTGTGATATTGCTGGACTATTGCTAAAAGTGGCGTAAAACTAAACTCACTCACTCATTCAGCATACAGAAACAAATATATTGTTACGCGGAAGGAGTGAAAGTAATTCCACTTATATCCGTGTCCCATGGCACACAATGGGATGTACACAAGGTGTCCAGTATCTTCGCATAGTGTCATCCGTAGTCAGTGTCGGGATCCGTGTCCTGTATCACACACACCCGCGCTCGTTGGGTCAAGCAAAGTGATAACGCCTACACGTTGTGTCCCGATGAGTTTTGTCTCCACCCATTTGTTGTCACGTCGTGACTTATGAGTCATAGAGCTGTTTTTAGTTCTCAAATAAATGAGCGTGAATTTCTGTTGTACATGAAGTCGTATTTTACAACAGTGCTGGGCTTGTAACTGTTCATCAACAGCCCCCAAGCCTGAATACCATACATCACTGTATGAAAGCAAGCCCGCTTGGCATAACATTGGACGGTTTGGAGGGTATTCGGATTATCAAACTGAATGGCTAAACAACGCTTTCAAATCACAATAACGTGTCTCTGATTAAGGGGGCGGTGGGGTAGCCTAGTGGTCAAAGCGTTAGCCCGTCACGCCGAAGCCCTCTGTCTCTCTCTCGTGAAGATCTGGGTTAGGATTAAACTCATGCTGAAGATTATCTATCTTTCTGTCTGTCTGTTTATCTATCTATGCCGTAGTATAGAACCTTGCTTGGAATTGAAGTATAGTTACTGCTACGTCGTTAATGGTTAGAATTGATCTTCAGTAACCCATGCTTGTCGTAAGAGGCGACTAACGGGATCGGGTGATCAGGCCTGTAGATTTGGTTGACACATGTTATCGTATCCCAGTTGCGTAGATCGATGCTAATGCTGTTGATCACTGGTTTGTCTGGTCCAGACTCGATTATTTACAGACCGCCGCCATATAGCTGTAATATTGATGGGTGCGGCCTAAAACTAAAACCACTCACTCACTCTCCCGGGGACGATACCATATACCCCTTCCCCCTGTAAGAAACATTGTCCATGTTGATGTACTCTGCTGAACGATGGTTATATTTCACTCGGCTCACCTCGATTATAGACCTTATCTCGGATTGCATTTAGAGGAAGCCATTTTTTATCTAGTTTCTCTATTTCACGTCACTCGCATATTGCGTAACAGAACGACAGTTGTGAACCTTTTACTAATATTGATCGATCTCAAATCATATTACAATATTGACTCTTCATAAAGTCATATTGTAAGAACATTGCGCAGAGGGATCGGATGATATGAGGTATGAGCTCATACAATATCCCTACACTCCGTTCCTTTGCCGAGTATTTTGTAGGTGACGGAAATGGCTGCCCGAATGGTTGACATGTGTTCTGTTTCAAGGTGCATCCTAGATGGGAGTTTCTATTCAAGAACATTTTACATCTTGAATAAATATAGAATTGTTACGTTCATGTTTTAATTATATATTTCTTTTTAAGCGTTGCTCCGGTTCCACAGTAAGTATACAGCCTAGGTTCTCCATAGCAAAGATGGGGCAAGGGAGCTAACTGTATCCGCTTTAGTAGTAGACTATATATACATACAAATGATTCTTATCACTTACAACAAAGTGCACACTGGAATTACTGATTATATGTTAACTATATAGCAATCGAAATACATCATTGGAAACTCGTAGATATGGTTACTCGTAGTGTTCCTTGAAAGCTTGTAGATGCATGCTAGGCTTACACATTATGAATTGCAATTATTTATGCATTTAGATACATCGGCGGTAACAATTTCATTATGCTAAATATGCACTTGGCGTTTAATATGCTGCAATGAGGCTGTACGTGATTGTGTTGACTGCTGTGCTTTACGAAATACACCCTGGCAATGTTCGCTCGCAGTTTGTTTGATGTATACGTGTGAGACAATTTTGAGATTTTGTTTACAGTATGCGTGTGTGTGCGTGCGCGTGCGTGCGTGCGTGTATGTGAGAGATATTACAAATAGAAATGTGAATGAAAGCCAAGGCAAGCAGGTCCTGCATGGCTAAGGGACAAACCCTTGAGTAATGAATTACAGATCATTGAGTCTTCATGTTTAAATGAAAAAAAGTTGTTGTTTTTTTGTTTTTTTTGGGTGGGGGCTCGGGGTGGGGGTGTTATAAACTGACAGACCATAACTTTAGAAAAAATGAAAATGATGAGCAGTTTTCCTTTTACGTCCTTAGGATGTCCATGATGCTCTTCGAATATTTTTTCTTCTAAAACATATGGACAAATTACTTATTGTCATCTGTGATCAATATTGTTGTTCACCTGTTATTAGAAATATTTTGTGACATTTCTATCATACTCACGGAAGTAATACTACGGTACGAAACTTCGTATCCAGAAGTAAAAACGTGAAGGAATAGAAACACCGGTCCCTTAAGAAATATGGTTTTCTCGTCATGAGACACCCACGCAGTTAAAAATAGAAAAAAGGTTGGCGCAATATTAACCAGTATACATTTATCAGGCTTAAATATACTGATATTCAGAAGTAAAGCCATATTGGACATGAGACTTGGAGTGAATGAATGAGATTTATGTAACATTGCTTTGAACACTTCAGTTATATGACATAGTGCCAGATTAATTTCGGAAAGCTTGGAGACCTGTTGGTCTTCAATGTTTACCACTTCCATGTAACCACGTGAAGCCCATTCCTGGTGTCCCCCGCCGTGATATTGATGGAATACTGGTAAAAGCGACGTAAAATAAACTCACCCACTTACTCAATGATACCAATGGGTGTGGTGTTGATAAAACCAAGAAATATACTTCATGGCCGAACGAGATTCGAAAGAAGTGTTCTAGGTTTCGAGCACGTCTAGGGGACATAACTCTGCATGCACAGCAGCGTTATAGGTGGCTGGGCCATCACGGTGACCTCCCGTGTTCAGGTAAAGGCAGCTCTGAGTCATAGGGTGTACTGGTAGGTAGAGACGCATGGTATATAGAGATGGGGAGTAGGTAGTAGCGTCTTATTTAAACGGACGTATCGCGATGTCTATCTATCACTGTGGATGTGAATTGCATGTCACAAGATATGTCACCTGACAACATTATAAGTATTTGAAATTAGCGCATACTCAACGCCTATCAAAGTGAATCGCATTTCACAGAAAATCCGAGGATCATAATCGGGGCGGATTTGGGATTCAAACCTACGACCCATTCTCCTTGGTCTAAGGGACGCAACTCTCAATAGCACTGATGCCTCCATGGGTGATTGGCCAAACTATTTGATTTAACAGGTGCGAGTTTAACGTAACATGAATTCAGCACGTTTAATTTGAATTCACGAAAATATGTTCAAATTGTATGACTGGGAAATATTTTAGCAGACTATCAATCGTTGAAGGAGCATGAATTAGCTCTCAAACGTCGTGTAAAGAATAAAAAGAAGTTGTTATCCATAAAAAGGTGCCATGTATTCATGTTCGTCCAACTTCTAAATGCCTTTCAAGAGATTCTGTCAATCGTTGTCAATAAAGCTTAGCCTTTAGCTGTGCATTTGCATAAATCAGCTGAGAGAATTAAGGTCAATTGCAATTAGGTAAGGAATTTGCCATTTCCAAAACAAAATGATTCTAACATCGTTTTGATATCAGTTTCAATCAAATTAGATTTGCGTAGTCAGCGTATAGCCCATTTCCTGTAAACGTGACTTCTTTTAACTCGAGTTCCAGGAACTTCGGCCCTTGTTTTCAACAATCTCCTTGTAACTTTCAAGGACAAAATGCAGAGGAAAGTTACTGATATGCATTTCAAGCAAAATACACAGGAACCGCCCTTGCTTCTTCAATAAGCAGTCGCTTAAATCTAGTGCTAGCATCGTCTTCATCTCCATCATCTCCACTTCAGTGAATTGTATTTACAGCTCAGCTAGCGCTTCTATCTTCATTTGTTATAACTGCCTAGGCCTGTTTGTAATCTTTGGCTAGCTACCACGACTGCAGCAGCTTTAGGCTATGTTCTACACCCTGCAAATACCAAGAGAGCGTTTCTTTATATCACATAATATGAGAACGGCGTATCGACGAACGTTAAACGGCATTCGTCTCATTGATAATGGCAATTGTGATGCCCAGGGAAACAAATGGCAAACTCCTACGAGAGTAATTGTTGGATATTTCCTGAAATCCCAGCGGAGTTCTCCACAAGATATGACCAGATCGTCTCCATCAGACGAAAATATACCGTAACATCTTTCAATTGACACCACCACTTCGGAAACAGTTTGTGGAGATAATTCGCAGTCTTACGAATATAAGGTCGTGGATTTTGCCTCGACCTTCTAACTAATGTTCGGACAAGAATTATCTTTAATCTCCTGTTCTTGAAACAGGTGTTCGTTCCTTAGAAAAACACTGTAGAACTACAGGATTGCATACCACGGTTTATGGTAACAGGGTAATTGGAAAATACTGTGGTGATTCTCAGTTTGAGGAAGTGTACTTTGGTTACAGAAGAACATTACAACCAGCTGTTTGAATCTTCATACCACGGTTTGACGGGGCCAGTATTTAAAATTATCCTCCTCCAGAGGACATACCTGTATCTGATTTGTCCTGAACTATCAATTTGTTCCCTCAGTGTACTTCATCTCTGAAGGGCGCACACGTTGTGGTCGTCTGCTTGTGTCTCTAACTGACACAATGTTCTCTACTTCCAGGACGTCATTGTCGGAGAAGTTCGCATCTTTTTACGGAAATCTCCGAACGTCGTTACTTGGAAATAACTTGGCTGGACGCAGAGCGACAGACCAAGAGAACCCGTTTGCAGAGGATGCGCAGTTGACAGGCTTCAAAAAGGAGAAAGAAGGTGGGTATTGTTTGTAGGAAAAGAAGACATTTCTAAGGATGGTTGTCTAACGTCAATCATGTAACACGTAATACCGTAAATATTACAGATGTGCACCGGTCGTTAACTTGTTCTGTATTTATTCTGTGGGGTTCTGTACTGTTTTTCAGTTTTAAGATCGTTTGTATAATCGGGTGAAAATTGAGGCCAGTTGACACTGAAAACGGATATTTTAGAGTAAAAGAAAGCGTGACTTTAATGACAGTGTAGGTTCTATTTTTAATCAACGAATCAAGGCCCGGACTGATTATAGTGAGTGTTCTGACCAATGAGACCTCAGATTGCATCTTATGCATCTCGCGGATCGTGCAACATGTGTCATATACTTGATGCAATCTACTCTTTGCTGAGTATTGGGCAATGAACGGGGGGTTGGCAAGAGGTTCCTGCACGGAACATGTTATGGCCTGATTTCATTTAGCTGACTAAATGCAGACCGACGCACAGCTAAGTGACCATATATATTCACAGGTGATGGAGATGTGTAGTGTATACAACGATGTAAATATCTCCATAAACACGTGTAATGGATTTCAACTGTAGACCAAACACAGCGTTTAAAATTCCCGCCTGCCCGACCGTTTCAGTTTATCTGAACTTGTTGCATTACCTGTTAGTGCTATGTATTTCATTGCGATGCCTACACACAGTAAAGTATTCAGAAACCTGATTTCTTTTGTTTGTTTTTCATTGTTGAAAACCGGACAGGCAAGTTTGTATCCGGACTGGTAATTTTTTTAAAGTTACCAGTCCGGATGTCTGGCTTGGGATTTAGGGAGTTATAAACACTGCCAAACATAAATTGGATGTCGTCATATTTGGATTTATTACCCACGTGGTCAACGTATGGGTAGTTGCATACTAATCTCGTACGTCACACGAGTGTCGTATCGCGTTGACCTGTGTCGTAACGACTTGACCTGAGATTCTAACGATTTGATTGGATAACCGATTACCTCTCAGTTAGGTCACGTTGTGACGGAACTACTTGTTCATTCATAACAAACACGTGAATTCATTCATTCTACAACTTAGATGCGTTGTTGGAATGTAAACATTGCGAACGTTGCCGTGTCGCTGTTTAATTGTGAGTCGAACTGAGACATTATATACGTCGAAAAAACATAAACGCAATGTTTCCACCAGTGATGTTAGCCGAATGAAGCAACTGCAAACCAAGAAACTGGGTGCTACGGAGTAGTTTACTGTAGGAGGCTGTACGAGGCGGTGGCAACTGACATGCATCGTGACGTCGGTTACCAAGGGGACAGACGAGAAATGGCGTAGTGACGTCAATACAGTGTGACGTCATGCAAAAAATTTACGTCAGAACAAAATTCTTCCGCAACCTCTTTATGAAACCGGTTTCGGTTTGAAACCACAACAATACCAAAACTACGCTATTTTGTCAATTTAATGCATGTAAGACGTGGGTAATAAATAAAATACCACACGAGGTCTCATTACATACGAATTATACGAAACTCGTGACCTTCCTATGGTTTCTGACCTCGCTTTCGCTCGGTCAGATACCATAGGAAGGACACTCGTTTCGTATAATTCGTATGTAATGAGACCTCGTGTAGTATTCTCTATATATACAACATGGCGACATATCCGAGAAAGTTACTTTCAAGAATCTCTGTAAACTGCTTTATACACTACACTACTTGATAAGGACACTGAGTGTCCAGGTGGGGAATAATCTGGATGTTTGGAGATGTTGGATGTGATCATGTTAAGATTCATTTCAAATGATAATTAACAAAACTAAACAAGGGAGTCTTCAATTAAAAAACACTGCAATATTGTCATATGTTTTGTATAGTTTATAGTGTTTGTGATGTGGATGGTAAGAAGTTTATTTTTTGTTAAGTCTCATGTTAATTCAGATGCGAGAGTCTAACGATACTATTCACGTCCTGAGTGTCCTTATCAAATATTGAGTAGCATACAGCTGAACCGCTGGTGATATGACATGAACTGTTTCCTCACTCACTCATTCACACCTTTATCCAGAGGGTCAACTGAAGCCGAAGACCATCGACTTGGAGAAGAGTGTCAACCGAGTAGCGCACAGAACCAGTGATTATGAGATCCCGAATCTCATCATCAGGCGTGGGCAAGAATTTCAAGTCAAAATATATTTCGAGAGGAACTACATTGCCCCCGAGGATCAGATTGTGCTCAAGTTTGTCACAGGTGGGTCAATGTCATATTCCGGGCACGGTCCTTATAAATGTCCCTATCGTTAATGGTACAAATGGGAATGTGACTTAACACTAATTATCACTTGACCATTTGTTTCGTGATTCTAACTATGTAATATTACATTCCTTAAAACTATTCTTTTTCAATTATATATTAATTCTATATTTGGCTTACGACCCTGAAAATATCAAAACCACAAAAAAGAGAGGCTTAGATAAAAAGGTAAAGACGTCACCTTATTTGATTATCGAATAACGATGTAATGTTTTTCAGTTGTATTTAGCCATGCAAGACAATTTCGAGAAATAAATTTAGATGTTATTTTGGCAAATATTGTTCTTCTTGTTCAATAACACAGAGCCAAAAAACAAATATATCAAATATATGCAAGTCTATAATATGAGGCAAGTCTAGATTTCTGCAGTCTCTGACAATGAAGATAGACTCTGGTCTCTTTGATATTATATTCAAGTAAAATATTTTAATCACTGTTTTTTAGGTAAAATGTGTTTATTCTAGAAGACCATCTGTTAGTCTATGTTCCATCCTGTCTTAGGTAGTCGCCCACAGCAGAGTAAAGGTAGCGTGGTGGCCGTTCAAAAAGTGGACAAGGTCAAGGAAAATGCGTGGGGTTTCCAGATTCTGTCGGTGGAGGAAAAAGCGTTGGTGCTGAAGGTGTCGTCTGATGCTGACGCCATTGTGGGTCGGTATCAGCTGTTTGTGGACACTGTGCACACGTCGAGCCAAGGAAACGTGGAGAAGTTCCGATACAAGCATCCAGACGACATATACATTCTGTTCAACCCTTGGTGTGATGGTGAGTACTTGTGTTTTTGTGTGAGTGTGAGCGTGCGTGCGCGTTTGTGTGTGTCTGTGTCTGTTTCTCTGTTGCTCGATGTATATCATGAAATACTTCGATATTCGAGGAACCTGGAAGGTGAATGGAACTAACTGATGTGTTTGTATGTGTAGCGGACAGCGTGTTTCTGCCAGACGAGACTCAACGTCAGGAGCACGTGCTCCGGGAAACTGGTCGGATCTGGTTGGGGACAGTTGGCAAGTACTGCGTCAGACCGTGGAACTTCGGCCAGGTGAGTCCACATATAGTATGACCAGAAGTTATTGAGAATTTTAGGAATATGTTTAATTGGATTTCTAATATAAACAACCTTGACCAGCCATCAAGTGCTTGGTTTCATTCAAGAGAGACAACTCCGTTAATCTTTTTTTCATTAGTTTGTGAAGAGTTATCCCCCTTTGTTTACTTGCTAGCAGACGACATTTTCAGTGATCCTCAGTATGGATGATTTAGAGAAGAGGAAGTTGATTTTAGAGTATTATAACAAGGACATCAGATCAGCTAAAGTGATTTCAAGTAGAACAGGCATCCCTTTGTCCACTGTTTATCGTGTTTTGAAAAATATTGCAAATGGATATGGCATTTGAGCACCAGGGAGGCGCAGGTAGGCCCAGAAAATTGACTGTCGGTGGCAGGAGGCGGCTTGGTATTCTTGTTTCTAAAAACAAACGAAGGAGTTTAGAAAACTTAAGGCTGGATATGATTGATAGAGGAACTGTAGCTGTCTGTAAGGAGACAATTAGAACTGAGCTGCATGCAATGGGTTAGCAGAAAAGTCGAGGAATTCTATCACCGATCATGAAACCTGAACAGAAGGAGCGAAGGTTTAACTGGTGCTTACAGCATAGAAATTTTAACTGTGACAATGTGATTTTCTCAGATGAAAGTTCTGTGTGGCTGTTTCCTAATACACTGAAGTTCTGGACCAAACAAACTGAAAAACCTTTGTATCAGCGCCCAAAGTACAGTCCGAAATTTAACGTGTGGGGTGGCATATCTGTGTTAGGGGCAACGCCCCTCTGTGTATTTGAAGGGAATAAGAACAGTGAGCGGTACACAGATATTCTCGAGGGACATTTACTTCCATCTGCTCACGTGTTCTATGGAAAGTTTGGGATTTTCCAGCAGGACAACGACCCAAAACATCTTTCAAAGCATTCACAGGCCTGGTTTCGGACCCAATATATGACATTATTAGATTGGCCAAGCTATAGCCCTGACCTAAATCCAATAGAAAATGTTTAGGGACTTATGAAGGAAAGTGTCAATAAGAAAAATCTGACAAATATTGTTGAAATGAAAGAAGAGGTGGTCCGATATTGGGACAGCATGGACCACGACTTTCTAACTTCTTTGATCAGTAGTATGCCCCGTCGCATTGAAGCCTGCATTGCTGCCCATGGTGACTTGACAAAATACTAACTGTTCACCTGTCTTTGAATCTGGAGTTATGTTCTGCTAATATTCACATTTAATACGTGAGTAATGAGTGAAAAGAAATAAAAAAATTACAATCTTTAAATTCTCAATAATTTCTGGTTGTACTGTATCATCTACCATCGGATAAATCTCTGCTAAAATAGAGTTCAATCGAATATATACCATGCACGTGCAGATGACAAATTTCTGGCACGGACCATTTTCTGGGTCCTGCTCGACAGACTGATCTTAGTTCTACTGTCGCAATTTCTACCGTTGATATCGCTTTGTGGACACGGTCCAGCAGGATAAACAGGTCCATGTACTTGAAGACGTCCTTAAAAGGGTTATGAATAATGGACATACATCTGTATAAAACATTTCATCAATTTTTAAATACATGATCCCAAAATCTTGGGTAAAGTACGCTGACTGACGTTCAAGTGGGCATCACATGCCACATTCCCGTGTGATACATCAGTAATTATATACTAATGTATCCTTTTGCAGTTTGATGACGTATGTCTCATCGCCGCCCTAGCCTTGATGGAGAAATCGGAACTGGGCGACCAGGCCAGAAATAACCCGTTACTCATTGTCAGGGCTATGTGTAAAGTGGTAGGTGTCATTACTCTTTGTCAGGGCTATGCGTGAAGTATTAGGTATCATTATTTACAGTCAGGGTCATGTCTAAAGATATATAGATATATATATGTGTCATTATTTGCAGCCAGGGCCTTGTCTATAGGTGTATACAAGTCATTATTTACAGTCAGGGCCACGTGTAAAGGGGCATGTGTCATTATTTACAGTCAGGTGGTTTTTCTAAAGGGGCAGGTGTTATTACTCACAGGTGGTAGCGGGCAAATGGGTAACTGGCTTCGCACATGGAACTGTCAATGTACTGGTATACTGGTATATAATTGTAAAGGTGTACTGGTATGCTGGTACATGTATATAATTGTGAAGGTGTGCTGGTATACTTCTACGATATGATATTATGTTCATGTCCAGATCAACAACAACGAGCGTGACGGCGGCGTGCTGAATGGCAACTGGTCTGGAAAGTACGACGACGGCGTGGCTCCATACGCATGGAACGGAAGTGCAGCCATCTTGGAAGAGTTCCTCAAGAAAAGGAAGGGTGTTAAGTATGGACAGTGCTGGACATTCGCTGCCGTGGAGACAACGCGTAAGTCTAGCCGTATGGCCTTAGGCATTGGCATAATTGATTATTATTCCAGTAACGAATAACCGTCCAAAATATACTGAAGAGTATCTATCTTTCAGTTTGTCTGTTTATCTATCTATGCTATTAGAACCTTGCTTGGAACTAACGCGTTGTTACTGCTACGTCGTTAATGGTTAGAATGGGTCTTCATGCTTGTCGTAAGAGGCGACTAACGGGATCGGGTGGTCAGCCTCGCTGACTTTGTTGACACATGTCATTGTATCCCCATTGCGTAGATCGATACTCATGCTGTTAATCACTGGATTGTCTTCCAGACTCGATTATTTACAGACCGCCACCATATAGCTGGAATATTGCTGAGTGCGGCGTAAAACTAAACTCACTCACTTAAAAAGTTAAGTCAGGCAAACGGGTGAAGTTGTTTCGGTGTCCTATTTCAATAAATATTATGTATGTTAAAACAGCTGTTCTATATAATTTCAACTAGCATGATTTGGTAATATTTCGTCTGTCTTCAGTATTAAGAGCTCTTGGCATTCCTGTTCGATGTGTGTCGTGTTTCCGCTCTGCGCATGACAGTGATTTCAGCAGCACCGTCAACTTCCATTGGACACCAGAAGGCAGACCCCGGAAAACAATGAACGACGCCATCTGGTGAGTGTTTGATAACTTTAAGTGGACGTATTCCACTCCAATCACCACCATTACACCTTCAATCACCACAAGGGTTGTGGGGGTAGCCCAGAGGTTAAAACGTTAGATCGTAGACCCCGGTCCGATTCCCCACGTGGACACAATGTATGAAGCCTTTTTCTGGTTTCCTGTTGTGATATTGCTGGAATATTGCTTCTAACAAAATGCAGTCCTGTCTCATTGACAGAATCTAAACTAACTGCCTGTCTCAGTCGAGTTTCGTAAAATATGTACACAAAGAACATAATTAAGCATCCCTGTATTTTTGCAGTGATAGGTTTTAAACACGTACATACAACTTCTAGTGGTGACCACGATCGAAAAACACGAGTTTTTCTGACCCGTATGATCCTTTGACTCATAAAAAAACGACAAAATGATGGGAATCCATGTTCATTTTATGATGACAATTGCGCATTTAAAAAAACACTGATTTTCATACAAAATCATGTCTGTATACAAGAATGGCCCTAGGATGTTTGATGTTGAACTTATTGGTGAATGTGAACATTCAAAATGTCATTTTGCGTGTCTTACACGATTCAAGGTGAATACCGAGTGTAACCTCCATGTGACTGTATGGCAGCCAGCACTCTCCTCCTCATACACTCTGTCAGCCTCCATTCCTCGTGTAAAGCAGCTTCCAATTGGGCCAAGTTCTGTACAGGAGGATCCCTTTGTTGCACACGACGACCAATCATGTCCCATATATGCTCCGAAGGGTTAAGATCTGGGCTCATTCAATCGTGAGATATGTCAGGAGTGCTTAACTAAGTTCTTTGTGTATATATCAGTATAAGATCTATATTTGAATCGATTACAAGAAGTAGCTGAGATACTCCTGAAAGTGGCACAACAACAAACACAGAACCGTGAAAATTCGTAGAAGAATTGAAGATCCGGGTTAGAATTCAGCAACCCATGCTTGTCAAAAGACCTTCCTTGTCCTAAGAGCCCATTTTTAGTGTCCTCCGATGTGATATTGCTGGAATATTGCTAAAAGCGGCGTAACACCAGACTCACTCACTCACTCCTTGTCGTCAGATGCGACTAACGGGATCTAAAAGTGGTAGACTTTCTTGCTGGTTCATTCCATACAATTTCGCGTTTGTAGTAACCAGTCTCTTATGAGCCGTATCAATTACCAGGGACTTCCATGTCTGGAACGAGGCCTGGTTCAAGCGTCCTGATCTTCCATCTGGCCACGATGGCTGGCAAGCGTTTGACCCTACCCCTCAAGAGTGCAATGAAGGTACGTCTTCCATCATGTGAACTCAGCCTTGATGGTCACGTGTATCCTATCCATCTCTCTAACATCAACCTATCACATAATCCTCCGACGCAGGGACTTAAAGGAGATATACAGTGAAAATCTTAAATCAAATAATACATTAAGCATGTAAAAATACATATTTTGAAGAGCATCTTTTATAAATACTCCATAATTAATGAATACTGTATTATCGAGGATTGATGTAAGGAGGATTATATGTTCATCATCTCGACCACTACACCAGAGATCGGGCGGCCATTAGCAACCCATTCTTGTCGCTACGGGCGAATAACGCGATCAGGCTCGCCGACTTGGTTGAAGCATGTCATGGTATCCCCACTGCGTAGATCGACGCTCGTAACGGCAGTCACTATATTGTCAGGTCCAGGGTCGATTATTTACAGACTGCCTTCATATAGCTAGGATATCGCAGAGTTAAACAACAAAAGCAACAGAGATAATACGATTTAGGTGATTTGACACTATGTATGCTGAACAATGAATAAATAAATATGTATAAAATAAGTTATTTCCGAATGAAACTTATTAAATTGTTTTCATGGTTTTAGTAAGAATGTTTGTGATTAGTTGTGACAAATAAATTAATGTTCAGTGTGTCTTCATCATTCCCCAGGCGTGTTTACTTGTGGGCCGGCGTCGGTGAAGGCAATCAAAGACGGAGATGTGTATCTAGGTTATGATGCCAAGTTCATCTTCGCCGAGGTGAACGGCGACCGGCTTCACTGGACCGTTGACAGTGACGGCAACATGAGCGCCTTCAAAGCGGACAGCAACATCGTTGGCAGATGTATCAGTACCAAGGCTGCCGGGACAATCTCTAGAGAAGATATCACCGATTCCTACAAACATGCTGATGGTGCGTAGCAATTATTTAAGCATTCAGACAGTACGACCGCCCAGACGTTGTCTAAACATGAGACAGACAGTGGGTAACATGTAATACAAACATGCATGCAGACGATGGGTAACATCTTACAAACGGAAGGTAACATTTCATGAGCATGCGGTCGGTGGGTAGCTTCTAATACAGTCATACATACAGTGGGTGACATGTATTCAAACATAAAATGGGTGGGTAACATTATATACAAATATACATTTGGTAGTTAATATCCCCTACAGGTTGCAGCTGGTAGGTAACATTTAAAACATAAATCAGATGGAGGGTAACATTTTGAACAAGCTTACGGGTGATGGGTAACATTATATATGAGCATGCAGGCGGCTGGTAACATGTCATACATACCGTAGGGTAACATTTAAACAAGATTCGGCCAGGCTATTTGTAAACGTATCTAAAGAATTATGCACCAACGGTTTAAATGGTGTTCGGGGAAGTTATGATGAAAGTGTGCCTTGAGTGCTAGTGTGCTGCAATGGATTCACAATATGGACACTTTTGGCAGGATGTCGTGCTTGAACAAGGCTAGGTTATATAGACATAACTTAGTCACACAAATATCTGTGTGGGGCTATTTCGAATCGTTCTCGTTCTTGGGTAACCGTGGAATCTAAAGACATCGGTAGTGGGATTGCAGCTCAAGGTTCGGTCATATGGACATTGATAGAAGCGTCAGCATCTTTCGCTCTCCTTTAATTTCCGCAGGAAGTCGAGATCAGAAAGAGGCTATAGTTCGGGCTCAGGGGATGTGTTTCCGGAAGCCAATCACTCCCCCGACCACCAAAGAGGACATGGAATTCATCTTCATGGGGGAATCTCTGAAGTCAGGGGAGATAACTGCTACACTCAAAGTGAAGAACGATTCCAGGGAAAGCAGGGTCATTGACGTCTACATCGCCGCCGTTGCCGCGTACTACACCGGCGTGTCGGCCGTTGATCTCAAGGAGACGTCACCCACCATAGTTATTGAACCATCAGGGGGTAAGACATACTAATTGGACCCCTTTGTAACTTAAGTAGCCCATTAAATGGAACATAGTCTATGGTACTGGTTTGCTACTTGTATCTACTTTTCTGCGCATAATTATCCTAAACTATTATCGCCTTGACATTAAATGACAATACCTTTTAGGGGCGGTGGGGTAGCCTAGTGGTTAAAGCGTTCGCTCGTCACGCCGAAGACCCTGTTCGATTCCCCCCATGGGTAATGTGTGAAGCCCATTTCTGGTGTCCACCGCCGTAGTATTGCTGGAATATTGCTAAAAGCGGCATAAAACTAAACTCACTCACTCACGATACCGCTGAAAGAAAATAGTGATAGTGTTTCAAGACGACTGAACAACCAGTTACCTACAGAATACAGCAGCATGCTTCAATGTTGTTTCTGTCGTACAGAGAGCGCTGTATGCCTCAAGTTGAACCCAACCGAGTACATCAACAGCTGTGACACCGACTCCCACGTCAACGTGTACGCCTGCGGTATTGTCAAGGAAACGGGGCAGAAGTTTGCTACCCGAGAAGTCTTCTGGGTTGACAAGCCTCTTCTAGAGGTCAAGGTCAGTGGGAAGCAACATTCAAAGAAGCTTTAGTTTACCTTATACTTTTCTTATTCAAAGAGGCCTTAAGGAACTGCGGATATTAATAACTGATCGAGGCAGATTAGAGAGAACAAAATTGGATGATGAAACGATACTATTATTGGGTTGAAAAGGACATCTGGTTTGTTATTTTACACAACTTCAATTAGTTCGCATGGGATTTTGTTTTGGTGTATATTTTAAAACCTTTTAGGCAAATGATTAAATCATAGTGGTGCAATACATTTGCGCCAAGTCTACAACATGCACTCATTGTGCGTATGTTTAAAGCCCCTGTGTGACAGCCTGATTGTGTGACTGAACATTCAGTGTAAACACACAAATGACAATAATACAAAATAGGTGAGTTTGCTTCAAACTGACTCTGTCTGGTGAAGTGTGCAGGCATTTGCTTTCATTGATCAATTGTATGCTAAACAATCTGTGTTCACAGACGGAGGGACATGCCCAGCTGGGGAAGCCGTTTGACGTCGTCGTGAAGATCGCCAACACGCTGTCACTTCCCCTGACGGGCGGCGTCATCAACATTGAAGGGCCCGGGATGCCACGAATATCCGGCATCAAAATAAAGTATGTATGGAGAGAGTCACCAAGACTTTCACGACATATTTACAAGGGTGCTGTTGTACAAATCGATCTTAGCGCTAAGGTGACCGTAACTACCATACCTTAACATAGACGTGAGGCAGTCTTAGCACTGAGGTTGTTTTGTACAAGGGTACCTTTGTAATCGACTGTAGGGTGTGTTTGACGCATGTGTTTGTTGTATAACGCGTCAATATTTCCGGTATATGGCGCCTGTCTGAATATATTTGAGTCTGGATCAGATGGTCCAGTGCTTGCTATATTATGAAGTAGGCTAGCTACGTCCCACATCCTTGAGGTACGTTTCTAACCTACCATAAGTCGCCTCTTACGACAAAGGTGGAATGATTGGGACCAAATCTTAACTGGAATTCCCACAGAAACGTTAAATGCTGGACGTTGTGTTAATCTCTGTGTACAGATGACAGATGGCATCTCAGCGAGTGATATAAACATGCTGTGTGCATATCGTCAGTTTGAAATGACTTAAAATCTGTTATTTCAGATCATATGTCAGTATCTTTCAGTTGAATATGAATTTTGTCCATGCATAATAACAGATCTTTTTTTCAACTTTGCAGGAAGAATATCGCCCCTGGTGAAGAACACAGGGAAACTATTAAAATGTCGTCTGCTAGACGACTCGGCCGGAAAGAGATTATCGCCAACTTCTACAGCAAACAAATATGTGACGTCACTGGCGTAGGGGAGATCGAGATCGAGGCTGACTCACAATAAAGAATGGAATAAATGTCCCTTCGTTACTGAACTTTGAATTAAACTTTTCTAAGTCTCTGGGGCCTGTATATTTCATCATACACATCCCGTGAACATAGTTCACAAAAAGGCAAATATACTACTGCAAATCATGGGATGTGGTATCTACATGGGCGGTGTTTGTAGGGATTTGGTTTAAGTGATAGACGAAGAAAATATAATCTCTCGATCTTCAGGAATTTGTGCTAAATCTCAAACTGCTTCTTTCTATTGGTATTTATGATGAGTTATCAATACAAGGGAGACAACCCGGATCTAAGCACTATTCGGTCAACATTTTTACTAGAGCTTGCGGAATCAGCGTGACCGTCAATTAAGAAAGCAGTCTGGCGTCAGTTGAAATCAATGTATATGTTAAAATGTTTTTATTTGATTGCTATAACCAGAGACACGGTCTCTGCTATCAGGGGCGTAGTGAACGGTTTTCAGAGCAGGGGCTAATTTATGAAAAGTATTGAAAATCAAAATGAAATTGTAATTATGGTAAGGTAGATATGGTTTCGTCTTGAAAGTGTATGGTGTGGGTGGGGGGAAGCCCCTCTGTTCCTACGCCCTGGCTATAACAGTGTTTTCATAATTTCTCTTAAGCATAAACAACTCTTTATAAACAATCCAGACTACCAGTTGTCACGCTTTGATTTTTGTAGATGTCACGGTGGCTGACTGAGCTAGATCGCTGAATGGCGATTAGGTGGCTCACTCTTACAGTGTGGGTTCGAATCCCAAAAGTACTAGAATGTGTACTTTACTGATAAAGTGTAATCCCAAATATGATATATGTTAGGTCTTACGTTCGACGAATCATAAGATGGGATCTGGCAGTAATTACAGTAACGTGTAATGCTTCAATTTCATGGCGTTAATTGGGCTCTTTTTTCAGTCTACCGCAAATATATTTCATAGCTTGCCTCATGTCGCATTCATGTTTATTTTTTATCGTTTGCCCATAATTATTTTATTAAATTTTATTCAGTTACAATAACTTCAAACGAGCCTTAGGTTGTAACCAAAACACTAGTCAGCGTGCTTTTGTACTCGTTTTTCATCGTATTCCGTTATATTTTAATAATTAAATAATTCCACACAATAGAGGAAGAGAATTAGCACGCACATTCATCCTATCCAAGTAAGGTTTATTTATACTATCTTATGTAATTGGTCTAAGGGGTGTTCACAATGGTGACTTGAGAAGCAGTGGCATATTGTTTTCTTTTCTAATAAAAGCTATGCAATGACTGTTGTTATACCCTGTTGTTTATGCATAATTTCACAGAGGGGTAGGGTTTCTTAAAAACTATTTCCTTACGTATATGTATGTTGTTTGTTTCTGTTGATGTCTGTCTATCAGTTATGAACTAAGCCAGTATGTAAGAGATGTGTATGTGAAGTACGTCCGTACACTAGTGTATTAGTACGACGTTTTAGAAACACCATGTCGACGTTATAGAAACACCATGTCGACGTTATAGAAACACCATGTCGACGTTTTAGAAACACCATGTCGACGTTTTAGAAACACCATGTCGACGTTATAGAAACACCATGTCGACGTTTTAGAAACACCATGTCGACGTTATAGAAACACCATGTCGAAGTTTTAGAAACACCATGTCGACGTTTTAGAAACACCATGTCGAAGTTTTAGAAACACCATGTCGACGTTTTAGAAACACCATGTCGACGTTTTAGAAACACCATGTCGACGTTATAGAACCACCATGTCGACGTTTTAGAAACACCATGTCGACGTTTTAGAAACACCATGTCGACGTTTTAGAAACACCATGTCGACGTTTTAGAAACACCATGTCGACGTTTTAGAAACACCATGTCGACGTTTTAGAAACACCATGTCGACGTTTTAGAAACACCATGTCGACGTTTTAGAACCACCATGTACCTTCAGATGTAAAACTCTACTTGTATGCATGGCTGTTGGTTTCTTCGTCTGTCGGTCTACCCACAGCAGACCGAGTGTAACATCAGTTTTGTTAAATGAAATGTTTTACAAAGTAGAGAAGAAACTGTTTTGTCGAGTGTTGTGTGTGTCTTGTCCATATTTCCGATTATGTCATGTTCATTTATACATTATGTTATATACAACCAAAAATACATAGATGAAAATGCATAATCATGAATAAATTTGTTAAAAGGGCTTTTGTTTTTTGGATGTTTTTGGTGAATCAAGACAACCTCCAATGATGACCCCTATATTGATAGCCCCAGTAATGTTGACGCCCTGTGCTGTCCACAGCCTTTACAATGAGTGAACGAGTTTTTACGCCACTTTTAGCAATATTCCAGCAATATCACAGCGTGGAACACCAGAAATGGGCTTCACACATTGTACCCATGTGGGGAATCGATCCCGGGGCTTCGCCATGATGTGCGAACCCTTTAACTACTAGGCTACCCCACCTCCCCCTTTACCAATGACACCCTGTATTTTCAAACCAAGTACGATTGATGCCCTGTGCTGATTATGTCACTGATGACACTGTACAGATGACATCTTGATCTGATGACAACCTGATCTGATGATGCCTTCCACTGATGACATCTTGATCTGATGACAACCTGATCTGATGACAACCTGAACTGATGAAGCCTTCCACTGATGACACTGTACAGATGACAACCTGATCTGATGACAGCCTGAACTGATGATGCCTTCCACTGATGACACTGTACAGGTGACAACCTGATCTGATGATGTCCTCCAGTGATGACACTGTACAGGTGACAACCTGATCTGATGACAGCCTGAACTGATGATGCCTTCCACTGATGACACTGTACAGGTGACAACCTGATCTGATGACAACCTGAACTGATGATGCCTTACACTGATGACATCTTGAACTGATGACAACCTGATCTGATGATGTCCTCCAGTGATGACACTGTACAGGTGACAACCTGATCTGATGACAGCCTTAACTGATGATGCCTTCCACTGATGACACTGTACAGGTGACAACCTGATCTGATGACAACCTGAACTGATGATGCCTTACACTGATGACATCTTGAACTGATGACAACCTGAACTGATGAAGCCTTCCACTGATGACACTGTACAGATGACAACCTGATCTGATGATGCCCTCCACTGATGACATCTTGAACTGATGACAACCTGAACTGATGCCCTCAAGTAATGACACTGTACAATGATAACCTGATCTGATGACAGCCTTAACTGATGATGCCTTCCACTGATGACACTGTACAATGACAACCTGAACTGATGACAACCTGAACTGATGAAGCCTTCCACTGATGACTCTGTACAGATGACAACCTGAACTGATGAAGCCTTCCACTGATGACACTGTACAGATGACAACCTGATCTGATGATGTCCTCCAGTGATGACACTGTACAGGTGACAACCTGATCTGATGACAGCCTTAACTGATGATGCCTTCCACTGATGACACTGTACAGGTGACAACCTGATCTGATGACAACCTGAACTGATGATGCCTTACACTGATGACATCTTGAACTGATGACAACCTGAACTGATGAAGCCTTCCACTGATGACTCTGTACAGATGACAACCTGATCTGATGATGCCCTCCACTGATGACATCTTGAACTGATGACAACCTGAACTGACGCCCTCAAGTAATGAAACTGTACAATGACAACCTGATCTGATGACAGCCTTAACTGATGAAGCCTTCCACTGATGACTCTGTACAGATGACAACCTGAACTGATGACAACCTGAACTGATGAAGCCTTCCACTGATGACTCTCTACAGATGACAACCTGATCTGATGATGTCCTCCAGTGATGACACTGGTACAGTGACAACCTGGTCTGATGATGTCCTCCGGTGATGACACTGTACAGTGACAACCTGATCTGATGAATCCTTCCACTGATGACACCGTAGAGATGACATCTTGAACTAATGACAACCTGAACTGATGAAGCCTTCCACTGATGACTCTGTACAGATGACAACCTGAACTGATGACAACCTGAACTGATGACAACCTGAACTGATGAAGCCTTCCACTGATGACTCTGTACAGATGACAACCTGATCTGATGATGTCCTCCAGTGATGACACTGTACAGATGACAACCTGATCTGATGATGTCCTCCAGTGATGACACTGTACAGTGACAACCTGATCTGATGAATCCTTCCACTGATGACACCGTAGAGATGACATCTTGAACTAATGACAACCTGATGTGAAGATGCCTTCCACTGATGACATCTTGAACTGATGACAACCTGATCTGATGATGCCTTCCACTGGTGACACTATACCGATGTCATCTTGAACTGATGACCTGATCTGATTATGCCTTCCACTGATGACATCTTGAACTGATGACAACCTGATCTGATGATGCCTTCCACTGATGACATCTTTAACTGATGACCTGATCTGATTATGCCTTGATGACATCTGATGACAACCTGATCTGATGCCTTCCACTGATGACATCTTGAACTGATGACAACCTGAGCTGATGATGCCTTCCACTGATGACATCCTATTGTGATAATACCATCGTATGATGACATCCTAGATTGATGATGCCCAAATGATGATGCCATCTCTTGCTAACAGCAATAATGAAAACTCCCTGATTTAATGACACATCCACCACGTGCCCAAGAGTGTATTTGTGGTCTAACAATGTGTCGAGTAGACTGTTTCAGTGAGTTGCTATAAGGCTGAAACAATGCTAATGAAACATTAAATTTTAACTCACTCTTTCAGTGAAAGAAAATGAATAAAAATCAATCATTTTATTCCCCTAAAGCATTTTTATGCTTCTTTAGCAAAATAACAAAACTATAACAGAGGAGATACTTTGTTGACCATAAAAAATGTAATCAACACATATATCAACCTATCATATAAATCAGAAACACCATTACATGGTTTAATGTCTCAACAAATTATCAGTAATACCACCGGATGTCAGTTTGATGTGAGAACACAATTAAAACCGAGACAATGCTCCTAGATGTTGACACTTTGGACTGGTTTGGTTGTTGTTTAACGCCACACTCGGCAATGTTCCAGCTATATAGCGGCGATCTGTAAATATTAAGAGTCTGGACCAGACAATCCAGTGATCATCACGAGCATCGATCTACACAATTGGGATATGATGACACGTGTCAACCAGGTCAGCGAGCCTGAGTACCCGATCTTGTTACTCAACTCCTATGACAAGCATGGGATGCTGACGACCAATTCTATCCTGGATCTTTAAGACTCGTTAACACTTTGGAGAAGCTTACAGAAAGGAGTATGGAGCTGGCACACACAGCTCAACAGAACCTGTGACACAAACATTCCAAAGAAGGTGAATTGTCACAATCTTTAGATCTAGGTACAATGTATGTCATTCAATGAACTAATCACACAAATACGTAATCTAAACCACCACAATCACAGCCTCATAATGAGTTTGAAAAAGTTCTAATCAAGATTAGTTGGAGCAAATGAACAGAACACAAGCAATATCTTCTTACTGATGATGGACCATTACAGGATAAACAAAGAGTCATTAGAGATGATGTATTTGCCCAATCTGGTGCAGTTTACAAATGGAGTTTACAAATGGCTACTTATACCCTATTTTGGGTTCACTGCCATACCTTCAATTCAGGCTATTGAATACTGCAAGGTAATTCTAAATACCCAAAATCACCAAAAGGCATCAATTTGCCACCGGACTGATTTGTATAACAAGTTCCTAAAAAATCAACAATTCTGGAGTTCTGCTCCAGAAATAGATAATGGATTGGACAGAAATATAGTGGACAAGCTGATTGATGTGTGTGTTTTATAACCAGGGGGGGATAACCACTGTACAAAATTGTTTCACCTAAATATTCTGATTAAGCAAAAAAATTCCCCAAACAGACCATCTATAAGCATAAGCGACTTAAACAAGGGGAAAACATTGTAGAGTGGAAAGTGGGTACTATGCAATATATTATACTCTTTGACAAAAAAGTAGGGGAACTTCACTTTTAATTTACGATTGAAAATATTGAGATATATCGGAGTCAATCAATATTGATATAATAATAATGAACGTTTTGAGAGTGCATCACCACTGGCACTTCCTTATGACCATAGTTGTTTGTACAGTAATCGCTCTTGAAAGATGATTGGTGTATGACGTGAAATTTGCATGTGTACGATTTTCATTTTCACACACCAAAAAACCAGCTAGAAACAAACACTAAAGACTGTGTGGTCCAAAATGATTGTCAAAATTAATGGTCTACGGTGATTTATCAACCTTCTTGAAAACCATTAAAATCAAGAATGACAACCCATGCATGTGTATGGGGCTACTGCGTTGTGCAAGTGCATCCCATGCATTGTGTTTAGGGGTGTTGATAAAGACAAATGGTGGTGCATTCATAAGATGTCTGTCTTTGAAAAGTTTGTTAACGCTTTTATTTCTTATCCAAATTGAAAGTTCAGGTTCCCCTACTTTTCTTTAAGAGAATGTATTGGGATCACTGACCTGACCCGAGTCGGTGGCCAACAGTGACGAGGGGAGGAAAGCATACTTTAGATTACCACAATCATGGCCAGGGGTGGATACAGCTGTTTGAGAAAGGGGGGTGCACAGTTCATTTTCGCCCATTTTCAATGAGTTTCAATGGTCATTTAATAAACTTTCAGGACAAAGGGGGATGGGGAGGGACATAGTGCTGACAAACTAGAATAACAGAAAGACATATTCATCTTTATCACCACCATCCTTGTTTGCTTACTGAAATAAATGTAATGGTTTGTAGGAAATAGACAGTACTCTTCACCATGTTCAAAAGACCAAACAAGGGCCACAACAATTTATCTCTTAATGATGTATACAAAATGTCATCCTTGAATCCATAGTGTTCCACTGTACAGTGCACCATGTCCTAAAAGATATGACAAGAGCTATAACTCTCCAAAATAGTAACCTTAACACTGGGTTGTAGAACTGATCAACATGTTTGTTCCTTAATGATGTAGGCAGTCTGCCTTCCTTGTATAAATGGTGGTTTTCAAGAAAACCTGTCCCAATTGAAATTGGATGGATGGAAAGGTGGATGAACAGAGCTCATATCTACATCCCCTGTTCCACTTTGTGGCAGAGGATGATAAGAAGGCATTCAGTCTTGAACCCGTTCTCATTAATTTTTGGTACGACTTTGTGATGCAACCTTGGACACTGAATTGTTGCACCTAGACAACTGGGCCACCTGTGGCTACCTAAGGGGTATATAGTCTAAACATTACTCATTTAGTGGAAATTGCAGTCATGAGTCATTTTTCGTTTAGTACTAGAATGTCTTGACATAATATGCTTGCTCTTTCATCAGGTGAATGGTAGGGAGTATCCTTTAAAGAAGCAGCCCTCTCAACTGCTCCATTCCAACCTTTCTGCTGGTACCGCAAAGTTGACGACACCTTCACCACCTCGACCATCACCCCGGCCACCTATTACAACATCTCAATGACCAACATCCTAGAATTCAAGTTCACCATGGAAACAGACCACCAACTCCCCTTCCTAGATGTTTCCCTGGACGCCCCAAAACTTCCATCTAAACCAGGCCGACACACACCGACCAGTACATCCACTACAACTCCTGTCATCACCCCCAGATCAAACAAGCAATTGTAGCCACCCTCACGAGATGTGCAAAGTCTATCTGCCACCCAGACGCCCTCAGCCATGAACTACAACATCTACAGGACACATTCACATCTCTCAATGGATACCCTGTTGGCCTGGGCACTAAAACTGTCAACAAGACCCTCAACACCACAGAGGCCAGCTCCTAGCCTGCACCATCCCCTATCAGAGTGACAATTCCTTACATTGGACCTATCAGCTACAAGATCACCCACCTCTTGAAGAATAAAGCCTGGGGAGTGACGTCACATTTTCTAGTTGCAAGACCCTCAAGAATCTACTGAGAGCCAAAAGCAGAGGATCCAGCACTGCAAGCCCCAACCCAAGAGGATGCATCTACCAGATTCTGTGTAACTGTGGACAACTGTACATCGGGGAAACGCTGTGACCTATCAACACAAGACTATACCCCATCACATCAATTACTGTGCTGTTTGAGTGTATCACTGAAATCCTTGTGTTTGTATTCCATTACTATGTTGTAAAAGTGTATCTAGCGAAGATAGATGCTCATGCTGTTGATCACTGGATTGTCTGGTCCAGACTTGATTATTTACAGACTGCCGCCAACTAGCTGGAATATTGCTGAGTGTGGCGTAAAACTAAACTCACAATCACTCATGTTTGCATTGCATTAGATTTCCTCAACATTGTTAAAGATGTTTTCTTTGCAGTACCTCAATGTATGTATATATATACCCCCACCTCCCAAGACATAAAACATTAAGTGTAGTACCTCAATGCATGTATACATATACCCCCACCTCCCAAGACATAAAACATTAAGTGTAGTTCCTAATGTATGTATATATATACCCCCACCTCCCAAGACATAAAACATTAAGTGTAGTGCCTAATGTAGGTATATATACCCCCACCTCCCAAGACATAAAACATTAAGTGTAGTGCCTCATGTATGTATATATATACCCCCACCTCCCAAGACATAAAACATTAAGTGTAGTGCCTCATGTATGTATATATATATACCCCCACCTCCCAAGACATAAAACATTAAGTGTAGTGCCTCATGTATGTATATATATATACCCCCACCTCCCAAGACATAAAACATTAAGTGTAGTGCCTCATGTATGTATATATATACCCCACCTCCCAAGACATAAAACATTAAGTGTAGTGCCTATATACCCCCATGTAGTGTAGTGCCTATATATATACCCCCACCTCCCAAGACATAAAACATTAAGTGTAGTGCCTAATGTAGGTATATATATATACCCCCACCTCCCAAGACATAAAACATTAAGTGTAGTGCCTAATGTAGGTATATATATATGCCCCCACCTCCCAAGACATAAAACATTAAGTGTAGTGCCTAATGTAGGTATATATATATACTACCCCCACCTCCCAAGACATAAAACATTAAGTGTAGTGCCTAATGTAGGTATATATATATACCCCACCTCCCAAGACATAAAACATTAAGTGTAGTGCCTTATGTAGGTATGTATATATATACCCCCACCTCCCAAGACATAAAACATTAAGTGTAGTGCCTAATGTAGGTATATATACCCCCCACCTCCCAAGACATATAACATTAAGTGTAGTGCCTAATGTAGGTATATATACCCCCACCTCCCAAGACATAAAACATTAAGTGTAGTGCCTAATGTAGGTATATATATACCCCACCTCCCAAGACATAAAACATTAAGTGTAGTGCCTAATGTAGGTATATATACCCCCACCTCCCAAGACATAAAACATTAAGTGTAGTGCCTCATGTATGTATATATATACCCCCACCTCCCAAGACATAAAACATTAAGTGTAGTGCCTAATGTAGGTATATATATACCCCCACCTCCCAAGACATAAAACATTAAGTGTAGTGCCTCATGTATGTATATATATATACCCCCACCTCCCAAGACATAAAACATTAAGTGTAGTGCCTCATGTATGTATATATATATACCCCCACCTCCCAAGACATAAAACATTAAGTGTAGTGCCTAATGTAGGTATATATATATACCCCACCTCCCAAGACATAAAACATTAAGTGTAGTGCCTAATGTAGGTATATATATATACCCCCACCTCCCAAGACATAAAACATTAAGTGTAGTGCCTCATGTAGGTATATATATACCCCCACCTCCCAAGACATAAAACATTAAGTGTAGTGCCTAATGTAGGTATATATACCCCCACCTCCCAAGACATAAAACATTAAGTGTAGTGCCTAATGTAGTGCCCTAATATATATATATACCCCCACCTCCCAAGACATAAAACATTAAGTGTAGTGCCTCATGTATGTATGTATATATACCCCCACCTCCCAAGACATAAAACATTAGTGTAGTGCCTCATGTAGGTATATATATATACCCCCACCTCCCAAGACATAAAACATTAAGTGTAGTGCCTCATGTAGGTATATATACCCCCCACCTCCCAAGACATAAAACATTAAGTGTAGTGCCTCATGTAGGTATATATACCCCCACCTCCCAAGACATAAAACATTAAGTGTAGTGCCTCATGTAGGTATATATACCCCCACCTCCCAAGACATAAAACATTAAGTGTAGTGCCTCATGTAGGTATATATACCCCCACCCCCACCTCCCAAGACATATAACATTAAGTAGTGCCTCATGTAGGTGACATAAAACATTAATGTAGTGTATGTATATATATACCCCCACCTCCCAAGACATAAAACATTAAGTGTAGTGCCTAATGTAGGTAAAACATATATACCCCACCTCCCAAGACATAAAACATTAAGTGTAGTGCCTCATGTAGGTATATATATACCCCCACCTCCCAAGACATAAAACATTAAGTGTAGTGCCTCATGTAGGTATATATACCCCCACCTCCCAAGACATAAAACATTAAGTGTAGTGCCTCATGTAGGTATATATATACCCCCACCTCCCAAGACATAAAACATTAAGTGTAGTGCCTCATGTAGGTATATATATACCCCCCACCTGCCTAATAAAACATTAATGTAGGTATATATACCCCCACCTCCCAAGACATAAAACATTAAGTGTAGTGCCTCATGTAGGTATATATATACCCCCACCTCCCAAGACATAAAACATTAAGTGTAGTGCCTAATGTAGGTATATATACCCTGATACTCCCTACCATTCACCTGATGAGGGAGCAAGTATACACTCCGAAATGTCATGTTATTCACAATAAAGAAGTTGCCATTCATAAATTTTGCTTTTCTCTGTAATATTCTTTCTTTGGTGTTATGGTGCTGAATCTGTTAAAAACAAAGATTGATGTTAATCTACATTATGCCAGTTTGTCGGAGAGATCTCCTCTTCCAATATCACAGAGTGCTTGAGCCAACACCTTAACCTGTGGGGGTGTGGGCTGTCGTTGTTTCCATAGCAACAGGGTCTGATAGGACACTTCGTAGACTCCTGCTGCATGATGGTCATGGTGAATGGTGTCTAGTTCGCCACTGCTCAGGCCCAGCTTGGTGCCCAGATCCCTCCAGGCAGTGTCCTTGTACTTGTTTAGGGCTTTACACACTTTGTCCATCTCGTCCAGGGAGGGCTCATTTTCAGACTCTGCAAGGATTACAGTTAAACATGATTATAACAAACTCCAAGTGACTTTCTGACTGTGATCAACATGTGAATGGCCAGACATAGGAACAGGCAAAAACATTGATGGACATACTGATGGTCCAGAGACAAGTGAAACTTTAGCATGAATACTGACTTCGAAAGTTGTATTTCTGAACTGTTTGCTTGTTTTACCACTGATAGATGAGTGTTTGATTCACCACTGATGGTGATTGAGTGTTTGTTTCACCACTGATGGTGACTGAGTGTTTGATTCACCACTGATGGTGACTGAGTGTTTGATTCACCACTGATGGTGACTGAGTGTTTGATTCATCACTGATGGTGACTGGGTGTTGGATTCACCACTGATGGTGACTGAGTGTCTGATTCACCACTGATAATGACTGGGTGTTTGATTCATCACTGATGGTGACTGAGTGTCTGATTCACCACTGATAATGACTGAGTGTTTGATTCATCACTGATGGTGACTGAGTGTTTGATTCACCACTGATGGTGACTGAGATTCACCACTGATGGTTGGATTCACCACTGATGGTGACTGAGTGTTTGATTCACCACTGATGCTGACTGGGTGTTTGATTCACCACTGATGGTGACTGAGTGTTTGATTCACCACTGATGGTGACTGGGTGTTTGATTCACCACTGATGGTGACTGAGTGTTTGATTCACCACTGATGGTGATGTGTGACTGATGGTGTGGGTGTTGATTCACCACTGATGGTGACTGAGTGTTTGATTCACCACTGATGGTGACTGGGTGTTGGATGTTTGAACCACTGATGGTGACTGGGTGTTGGATTAACCACTGATGGTGACCGAGTGTTTGATTCACCACTGATGGTGACTGATTCACCAGTGGTGTGGGTTGATTCACCACTGATGGTGATGGTGACTGATGGTGTTGGATTCACCACTGATGGTGACTGATTCACCAGATGTGACTGGTGTTTGATTCACCACTGATGGTGACTGAGTGTTTGATTCACCACTGATGGTGACTTGTTTGGATTCACCACTGAGTGTTTGATTCACCACTGATGGTGACTGAGAGATGGTGACTGAGTTTGATTCACCACTGATGGTGACTGAGTGTTTGATTCACCACTGATGGTGACTGAGTGTTTGATTCACCACTGATGGTGACTGAGTGTTGGATTCACCACTGATGGTGACTGAGTGTTTGATTCACCACTGATGGTGACTGAGTGTTGATTCACCAGTGTGACTGATTCACCACTGATGGTGACTGAGTGTTTGATTCACCACTGATGGTGACTGAGTGTTTGATTCACCACTGATGGTGACTGAGTGTTTGATTCACCACTGATGGTGACTGAGTGTTTGATTCACCACTGATGGTGACTGAGTGTTTGATTCACCACTGATGGTGACTGAGTGTTTGATTCATCACTGATGGTGACTGGGTGTTTGATTCACCACTGATGGTGACTGAGTGTTGGATTCACCACTGATGGTGACTGAGTGTTTGATTCACTGAGTGTTGGATTCACCACTGATGGCGACTGAGTGTTGGATTCACCACTGATGGTGACTGAGTGTTTGATTCACCACTGATTGTGACTGGGTGTCTGATTTGCCACTGATGGTGACTTGGTGTTGGATTCACCAATTAATTTTAAAATATTTCGTATTTACCATTTCAGCTCTTCCTTTCAATGGAAACAAGTTTCTGTCTTTAAGAAATGTCTCTGAACAAAAACCCAACTCTCCATGGCCCAAAGTTCCCTTGCTATATACTTACTGGACAGCGGTCGCTTGGGTTTCTTTTCCTTCACTCTTGGTGCGGATGCTGCTGCCCTCCGCTGACTCCTAGTCTGCACTCCTGCACCCTGAGTCACGTTTAAAGTGTTATGGGGGCCTATCTGTATCCCAGAGCTTTTCAGATCCGAAAACAATGCAAAGCCTGAAATTTACACTTCATAGGAACAGTTGACTTTTTAAAAGGTTACATTATCAAACAGACAAGGTGTGATATGGCACCCTTTTAAATTGCTAGAGATGAGAGATTTTAGATGGATAAATGAATGAATGAATGAATGAATGAATGAATACTGTAATGACAATTGTTTTAGAATGTTAAGTGGCTGCATGATTCCCTGTGTGACGATGTTCCAAGTGAAAAACATTGTACATGTGGACAGTCAATGATGTGCACTCGTGTGTTGTATTCTGCAGGGGCGGTAGGGTAGCCTGGTGGTTAAAGCGTTCCCTCGTCACACCAAAGGCCGGGCTTCGATTCCCCACATGGGTACAATGTGTGAAGCCCATTTCTGGTGTCCCTGCCATGATGTTGCTGGAATATTGCTAAAAGCAGTGTAAAAACCTACTCACTCTATTCTGGAAGGTACTACAGAGCAGTAAAATGAGAATGAGCTATTCTGACCCGAGGAGTTGGGGAATTGTCTGGAGTCTTTAGCTTAGGTACATAAGGGGAGCTAAATCTTGCCTCATATCTCACATTACATATAATGTTTCGAGAAGACCAAGCAATGTTATTGTATGGAGATAATTTTTACTCTCAACATTCAGGCTAGGCCATTGCTGCAGTGATATGGATATTACCATGATAGTCTTTATTGCTTTAATCCCCGATTTGCATTATTCTGCCTTTCAGTTTGTACCGCCACTGTAAAACCATTGTTGTGATTTGAACTGAGTTGTGAATATGGGGTAAAAAAGAATCTAAAAACATTTCTTGTAAGTTTACATTTTTGGCATTTTTGCATTTTTGGCCAATAAAAACATTAGGAGTTTATTTTTTGAATCAATTTCTATTTTTCATTTTTGACAAAATACTGCCGGTCCGTAAAACAAGAAATAAAATTGGTCTGGCCTGATTTTAGAATATACTTTTTAGTCATATCACATTGCTTTGTTGTTTGTTGGTTCTATAAACTGATTCCTGGTTTGCCTATAATTACCTATATAGCTTCAACTTGGGAATGAACACACGACTTGACTAATAAAATTCAATAACTTGCATGCTGTAACTAAACACATCATGAGCAACAGTGTCATTGTTCACCAACATCAACTACTTTGTATATGCTGAAGATGTTACTAACTTCCTTGGTTTAGAACTCTCATTATCTCACTACATATCATGCCAAAATTCCACTTTCTGTAACTCAAGCTTTCTAAAAAGAAGACTAAAATTGTTCCCAATTAAATTTTGACATATTCTTGCGAAAAGGAAAAACATTATGTTGATCAAAATGACAGAAACATAATAAACATAAAATTTTCAGACACATATACATTATACGACAGTGAGTGAGTTAATTTTTACGCCGCTTTTAGCAATATTCCAGCAATATCTGAAATGGTCTTCATACATTGTACCCATGTGGGGAATTGCACACGGGCCTTTGGCGTGACGAGCGAATGTTTTAACCACTAGGCTATCCCACCATCCCCATTATACTATAAGTTGACAGTCCAGGTGAACTGAAAAGGTTGGTTGAGTTGGGTTAAATAATCAAGTCTAGCACAGACAATCCAGTGATCAACAGCATGAGCATTGATCTACCCAATTGGGATATCATGACATGTGTCAACCAAGTCAGCGAGCCTGACCACCTGATCCTGTTAGTCGCCATTTATGACAAGCATGGGTTACTGAAGATCAACTTTAACCTGGATTTTCATGAGTCAAAATGAAAAGGCTGAACACCACGTACCAGATGGTCTAGATCCTGGAGGACCTCCTGAGGCACCACCACCATAGCTCTACAACAGTAAACACGGACATTATGACCGATTCCATAATGCCACCACATGCTCAGTGTACATACTCAGCATATATCATTGTCATAATTACCAATAATTGAAAACACAACAAAAACAGGAAGGGTTACATCTTAGTTGATGTAAAATACCTCTTATTCAATCTTAAGTGAAGAAATACTTTATTTTTCTTAAAATATGTAATCAGTATTTCACTTGATCAATATAATGCCTTCTGACGAAACTAGTTTCAGTCTCAATACTTTGGGGTGATGATGATGTGATGATGAGAAGCATGTACAATGTGAATGACCCCCTAAAATTTATGTACAAAGTAAGTGACCCCCCTGCATGTCATGTACAAAGTCAATGACCCCCACTCCCCCTTTCCATATTTTTACAGCATAATTTTTAAATATTTTCATCTACCAAATTGCTGACCCCCACTAGAATAAAATTTACAAAATTGATGACCCTCCTACCTCCCCAGAACAAAATGGGCGACCCTCCCTTAAAATCATCATGACCCCCCACCACCACCCCCCTAGCCATAAATTATGAACGGTCCCTTACCAGGAAAGTATTTTTGCAAATATAGGTTGGCCACAAAAGTGAAAGGTTCAACGACCATTATTTTGGTATTTTAAATCATTAATGCATCTATCAGAATATTACTTGGGACGATATTACATAAAATTAAAAGCATCAGATTAAGTACTGTGACCCGGTTTTGTATCAAGTACGTTTTCAAAAGTACTTCCTGTTTGGTGTTTGTTTGTTTTTAAAAGAGATGTTATTGTAAATGTTTCAATCTATAGATCTGATTTTATCACCATGCTGGTTATGGTTCTCTTTGACACCACACTTCCATCTCGCTGAAACTTGAAAGGAACGCGAGACAAGTATATGAAATAAGAGGATACTGTATAAATTAAGATCATTTCCAAATATGTCCACAGTCAGAAGTCCAAAGAGAGCTTTGAGGCAAAGACTGCATGATGAATCACTTACCATGTCTTCAAAATAAAAATATGTCAATTGATAGATTTGGGAAAAGCTAGTTTCAAAGTGTTGGGTTTTCGTAAAGACGAAATCAGTAACGAAAGTTGGAAAATGTTTTGGGTTTTCCCGCTATGGCTATTTATAGGATAACGCTGTGCTTCCGGTTACGCTTTAGGCTCTGTGCAACGCTTGTACCACGCGAATGTGTTGTGAGCGACTCCTCTTATGTGGACCCGTCGCAATGCAACTGAAGTATCCCATGAAGAAAGTAGTTTGATTCTCATTTATGTTTATATACATATCAGACTTAATTAAAATCGACATGTTTTCTAACGTCTTGAATTATGCCATGGATTAAAAAAATAATAAGAAGAATAAAAATAAACAGGACAACAATAAGAAATAGAGCCATTATTAATCTCTCAGTACTGTATAACATATACTAAGAGAAAAATAATTAAATAAAAAAATAATATTTTGTGATGCATCTCCAAACATTTCAATGTTAGTGTGTGCTTTTATTTTCAGTATGAGCAGTAAACAAAGATGGTTTGATTGAGTAAGTGAGTTTAATTTTATGCCATTACCTCAGTGTTACTTCATTAAGTATTTTTCATTGTCCATGTTCTTATTCGTTAGGGGTGCACGTGGGTATTGCAGAGAATTTTCGGAAAGACTTCCGCCCGTATCCCCCTTTAAATTTCATTTTAGTCAAATCATATCACCTGAATATATATTTCTCATCTGATAAGGATTGAGTTTTAACATGTTCTTTAATTGTATCTGAACAAACTGAAAGACATATTAAACTTCTAAAAATGCCACTCAAAGATTTTTTTCCTCATCGTTAAAATTTAGGGGGGATACGGGAGGAAGTCTTACCGATTATCCCTGCTATAATGTATTCATTTCTTGTGAGTCACGATGCGGCTGAAATACGGACGATGTGACTTAAAATATCAGCTCACTCACTCAATAAGATAAGCATATTCAGTTGGTGCATATATTGAATGGGCACCAAATAGCTACATTAACAGCTTGGAAAGTTCCTGGGATGAGAGCACAACAGTGGCAGAACCATACACAACTTGTCAAGGTAACACAATCACCTGGCCTTGCATCCTCGATAATCTCCACGGTATACGTTACGATGCATTCACGGCTTGGCCCAATAATTTTATTACCTCCGGCCCGATAATTTTATTACCTCCCTTGGCTGGCTCTGCATTCTCACAGTAGCCAATCCGCTAAGCCGCCGTTACAACCGAGCTTGCCAGTGTCAAGAAAGATAGCGGTCGCAGTCGCGAAGGTTTGTTCGCAGTGCCACTCAGATTTTGGGGGAAATAATACTGCCATATTGACAGATCTGAAAATTTTAAAATAATATGAAAGAACTCCTTCTACCTCTTTCAGAGTACCTCTACATCAATTGTGTTGCCAAGTTTAAACGGTTAGATAATTTAAGAAGCGAAAGTGAGTTGTGATTGGTACGCTCAACTTCCCAGCGTAGACACCTGATTGGATAAAAAGCCAGCCAAGGGAAGTAATAAAATAATCGGGCCAAGCCGTGGATGCATCCAGGGTATAGTGGAGATTGATCGTAACGTATACCCTGGATATTATCGAGGATGCTGGCCTTGATGTCGCATCATATTCCCTGTTTTGCTTCCATGTGTTCGTCAGGTATGGTTAGCTTGGTGCGTACAGTATCTGAGTCTGAGACAGTATAATGTTAAAAAAAGAGTCCAGGGCGCCGTTGAGTTACCGGAGTGGTTTGGTATATACCACAAAGGCAAATAAATGTAGTTTCTGTAGATGCCAGTTTAATGGCAATAATAACTGAAGAAAATAAATACATTGCATAAAAATACGCCACAATACTTCATGGGCCAACACATGTGAGGCTTAGCAGTAAGTACTACGATCATATATAAGCAATACAATCATTAATGATTAACCAGGTCACAGAGCAGACATGTGTGTATATATGTATATAATGTTTATATGTCAACATACACGTGTAGAATCATACAAGAACATAACATAATTATTTACAATATAATAAGAAGGAACCCTCACCGAGTGTATGGCACTGTGCCCCTTTGACGTCACAAACGTCAGGAAATATGTTTGCCACACCTGAACATAAACATATCCATAATCAATATGATGTAACGTTCTACATCTGTACATTATCACTCTACTGTACATAAAATATCTGTTCCAATAACTCATCTCATCACACATACATTCATTCATACATGCAAAGTTAGGTGCATTAGTTTATAGAAGTAGATGTACACATTATGTTTACCTACACAATAATTTATAAGTTAGGTAACATCCTCGTGGGAAATGTTATTTAGGATTACCAGCAATAAATACTTACATATGTAAAGTATTGCTAACACCCAGTTATGCTACATATTACCAGTGTAGGAAAGATGTAGAAAATCTAGCCTGTCCACAGGACTGGCAGGTCAAATTTTTTTTACCAGTCCTGCCAAAATCTAGCCTGTCCTCCAAATATAAATAAAACACCTTCGGCAGTAAATATTCAAAAAGGTTATAATCATTATATTTATGTCATTGGTTTGCTAAAATTGACCCAACATGAGGACGGACTAGATATTTTTTTTAACCCGTCCTCCACAAAATTCACCCGTCTTGGACGTTGGGACGGGCTATCTTTCCTACACTGATATTACAAATAGTTAATTTGGTTTATATTTACCACACATAACATGATACATGCTTTAAAGGAAGCTAAGAAATAATACATACACACTAAACATGAAGACCATAAAATACACAATCTAAATATAAACTAACCTGTTATAAGCTGTTGTGAGCTATGACCAGTGACCAGACAGACTGAAGTGAAAATGATAGCTGACCCACAAAACACCCTGCTATTGAAACTAAGGGGCCTGGGGGTGGGGCAAGACAATAGAGACAATAGACAACGTAAGCGCAAGGGTGACAGTGCTATTGTGAAAGTGAAGCAGGTTAGATTGAGTGGTTAAGCTAGGGCTAGACTTAGTGATTAAAATACAAATTAAAATACACTTGCATTTTATACATAATTACATACTCCTACAGTTACAAAACGATCTTAGCGCTAAGGTGATCGTAACTCCCATACCTTAACATAGAGGTTAGGTAGTCTTAGCGCTAAGGTTGTTTTGAACAACGAAACCCAGACGTTTTGGCAGGGACTACTTGAGTCAGATCTATAGTATGCAGTGTTCCTCAGCATGGCAGAAAGCCCTCTGGTTGGTTGATGTTTGTTAAAGAGACATTTACAAATGATGCTTTCTTTTGAGAAGCCATTGCTGGAAAAAAAATATTACATTTCTTCCAAGTCAAGCAGTCGATGGAAGTAAAAATTCCCGAGAATTTATAAAGAATGTGCAGATTTAGCAGCGTTGACCAACCAGACGGCTTGCTTCGACCACACACCCGTTTTGTGCGGATATATTTTTGTGTCAAGATAGTTTAGTTGAGGGTCAAAATCGGGTTTCAATCGACTTGCAGAAATAACAATAAAGAACTGGTAGGTGTCATGAGTGGTGCTCGATAGGCCAATCATCCATGATTATGTTTACATTAAGTTTTAATCGATTGCATGCGATGGTAGCGTAGCGATCGGCAAAGCAGTTGGGTGGGGTGCACCGAAGTGTCCGGCCTTGTCAAGATGTATTGTACTGTGAAGCATTTCGAGTCGGGGGTCATCTCAAAAACAATATTTTTTTTAATCATTAATCCTCGCAAAGACACGAGGGCCTGTGCTAGGCTACCCCACCGTCCCAGAGAGGCAATTTCAATGGAGCATGCCTGGATGATCACGTTCTACACTTAATACCGATGCAGGTACATAATGTCATTAGTGACAAATTTACATCTTGCATCTTCTTTTATTCTGAAGTCATCATCAATAAATTTGTCAGTATTGGACCAGAGACCATATACTAGTAATAGATATATCTATTATATGGTCTCTGATTGGACCTACCAACTTCTAAAATAAACTTAAAAGAAGTTAAGGAATTTCTTGTTGCAGAAGAAGCGAGTAAGTGAGTATGGGTTTACACTGCCTTTAGCAATATTCCAGCAATATCACGGCTGGGGACACCAGAAATGGGCTTCACATTTTGTACCCATGAGGGGAATCGAACCACGCCATGACCAGGGAATGCTTCAGCCACAGGGCTACCTAACCACCCTGTTGCAGCAGGATAACGTCTGAATTGTCCATCCTGAAGGGGCATGTCCACTCTTGATTACTTTAGAAGTCAACATGTCTACAATAATAAAACTGCTGACTCAAAGCAAGGTAAGAAAACATTACTCCAAACCCTGCCCCCAACGTGGGAGACTGCAGGCATCAGTTAGGTTGCGAGTTGAGACTGTTACAATACCTCCAAGTGAACTGATAGGCTTGTAGACAGTTGAAACCTGAACACTTTTCACTCATTTTACCCACTCCAATAAAACGTTCAATGTCAACATTCCAAACAGGTAAAAAACTTCACCAGACATTTTCCAGTTTAAACATTTTATTATAAACTGTCATACAAGCGATTAGTTCAAGACATTATGTGCACTATTAGGTTCCTTAAAATACTGGATAAAAGACTGAACAAGGTCTTGGAGACTGGCTGGGAATTCATTCTGGCAATCATGTTTTCAGAACTCACTAACAGAAATACATAATTATGTGATGCCTTTAAAGAATACCCTCTCTGCAAATGTATTTTCTTTTTTTCAACCTTACTAACCAACTCTTTCTATAAAAAATGTTTGTTCATTTGTTTATATAAAAATCATCATTTTAGCTATATGACGACGGTTTCTAACAGTCTGGACCAGACAAACCAGTGATGGACACAATGAGCACTGATCCTGGTCATCAGGGTACAATGACATGTACATAACTATGTCACAGAATGCCGCCACCTGTTCATGACATTGATCACTGGATTGTCTGGTCCAGACTCGATTACTTACAGCCCATGGTCATATAGCTGGAATATTGCTGAGTGCAGCATTAAACAACAACCAACGAACCCTCCACCTGATCCTGAGTCACCTCTCATGACAGCATGTCACTTGTGACTTCTCTCACACTGATTAAAACAATTTAAATTGACTACATATACAACTAATTTTTTTTATGTCTGAACCACGACACCTTAACACTGATTTCCCATCTGCTCTGGATGAGTTACACATTATAAGTTGTATGCTTCTCTCGAGGGTAATACCAATGAATACAGTCTGATGTACGCCTCTTTGTTACCGGCTCGGGTGACACTGCTACAAAGAGGTGACGGTGTACATCAGACCATATTGCCCGAGGGAGAAGCATACAACGTATTTATCTTACCACCATGTTAAATGTACAAAATATCATTATAGTTTATGTTAAAGATTGCTACTGACTATATGACATGCAAACAAAATGGCGTCTGCCTCTCGACTGAATGTTTAACATCAGTGAAACATATTCTGACAAGCATAAAACTGTTATAAAAAAATGTTAATTATGTTTAGGCTGAGTGTGCAAACCACTCAATGTATAAAATAGCTTTGATAAAGTAATGAAAGTCGGTAAAATAAATCTGTACAAAGTGAACACAAAAGCAGCTGATCAAACGGTTTTCGAACTCCAGGCACTGCATGCGTCATATTATAACGTCATACGATTGTTAGCGCTTCAGCTTCTCGGCGGAGAGCTTGGCTGTTACCGTGGCAGCGGGTAATATTTTTTCCAGTTGTCACGGGTGACACAGAAACTTGTTAAACCGTCATTGACCAATGAAATTCAAGTATTTTACATGGAGGTAAGATAAAATCATTTATGGCACTTCAGACATAATTCTTTGTCCCTTGCAAGATTCAGAAACAGCACAAGCAGACTATTATCAAAATATGTGTATGTACAATGATAAGTACTGTATTTGAACAAACCAGGTTCTCGTGAGCAAAATATAAATATGGGAGAACATCAGAAATTGGTTGTAAATGATTGATATTCATCACTTTGGTAAACCCTTCAAGCATGGTGCCATCAGACCATGGAGCATGGTATATCAGAGTCCCGAACCCACGATGAACCCATCAGGACTCATGAAACATACATTTCAATGTATACAAAAACTCGACCTTCGAAAGGGTTATTGGGATGATACCTGTTCCTATAAACATGCTCACTTGACATGTGGGAATTAGTTTTCTGTATCGTGGAGAGATTACAATATACCTATCGAACGTGGAGCAGTAGATTTATGCATGGTAGACCTTACCAATATAAGTTAAAGAAGGTATTTGTTCATCACTGCTGCACCTTTCTGTGTGAAGATGTGGCAGACAAAGGGTTAAATCAGGGGAACCTCTAGCCAGAACAAACTGCCTCATATGTTAGAAGGGTGCTTGGGTGCTTGAGCAGATCAGATGCTAGTTTTCTGTAATTTCTTTCATTTTTTTGCCGCCGTAATTCAGACGCAACTAGATGCCAATACAGAACAAAAGCATATATGGACTATTGAAAACTACATTACAGTGCAGCCTTAACTAAACCTAAGTTTGAAACTAAGGTGAATGCAAAATTCAAGATACTGAAATCTGATCAGCCTCACTTGCTCATACTGAACTAACAATACCTTGATGCTCATTGGCTGATTAGTAAGTTGACTGGAATAATGTTACATCAAATTTGTTACTTCTATTTATCTTCCCTCAAACTGACAACCTTTGTTTTTGTACCATAGTGTGTTAGTGGTGTTCCGATTACTTGAAATAATCGAAGATTGGTCGCTGACCAAACGACCAAGCAATCGATCACATTTTCTCATAATCGAACACCAATAACTTTGGACCTACTGTTTTAGTGTTTGAAACACATGACAATGGAACATATCTTAGGTTGTCAGGACCTGAAACATGTTTAATTCTTAGAAAACTCACTTCACTTACTGAAAAGTCATGACTGAATATTTCTTGAAGACTCCAGGAAGTTTATGTTCATAATATATTAATCATCACTTTTATGTAGCATTTTACATTGAATGTGAAATTTGCAAATGCAATTTGCACAGTTTCTAATTTTGAGAACTTTTTAAAAACTATTCTGCAACATATAAGCAGGAATGGAAGAGGCCATTCAATACCAGTTCTGTAAACCTCAAGACATTTTTTTTCTGATTAGCGAATGTCAACTTCCTGTCTGTCATTTCATTGGTTGGTTGAGGTTCATGACAGAGTACAGACATAAACTGTACTGGTATGTCATCAGATGTGTGTGTAGCGATAGCGAAAATGAAGACCTGATTATGATGAGCAAGTGAGTTCTTTTTATCCTGCAGTTAGCAATATTCCAGCAATATCACGGCAGGGGACACCAGAAATGGACTTCACACATTGCACCCATGTGCGGAATCTAACCCGGGTCAGGGGTGGAAATAACTTTAAAATTGCTAGTGTACTCTGGTACAGTGGCACATGTAAAATCACTTGCCCTGATAATTTTTCCACTATACCGGCCGTTTTCTTGTTGATTTTTTAAATAAACAACGTAATTAATATTGGAAAGTCAACTGGACACTGGTACAGTGTGATATACAAATTTGCTTGCCTAACAGAAAAAAACAGTGGACTCGGGCGTCGGGCAATGGGTTATTTCCACCCCTGCGGGTCTTCGATGTGACGAGCGAACACTTTAATTGCTGGGCTACCCCACTGCCCCTGATTTTGATGAGACTGAGTGGCACGACACAGGTTATCACAGATGAACATCTGCCTTGGACAAAAAAAGTTCATAAAAAGTAAGTCAGTTTTTCAGGAACAAATCTTCTCAAGATTGTCCCTCCTGCTTCATTTTTGCCAGCTTGTCGGCAATATCACCACGGCCTGCTCTGGCACAGCATTTTGCAAGTCGGTGGAGTTCTGTTGGGTATGCTTGTTCCTTCCACTTGCGAACTGTCTGGTAGCTGATCTCATACTGACCCTCAGTCCGGTAGTCAGCTCTAATATTGTCCATCTCTCCTTCAGACAGTCCAAGCTCTCGTCCTAGATATCTCCAGTCCTTCCCGATGTTGTTTGCAATTATTTCCATAGCAATGGGCCCAGGGACTTCTGTTGATTCTTAATAGAGAGAAACAGACATTGTTTGGCATTTTGTAAATATAAATCAAAACATAACATTAATGTAAAAAAAAAAGCCCAGAGCTACAGATAACTTTTTGGGTCATTGAGTTATGTACTCGCTTGTGTTAATCTCAATTGGGTATCCTAATTTTCCGTTGAGTAACCAAATACATTGTAATCACCTCACTCAAACTCAATTGGGTATATTGCCATTTTCCATTAACTTAAAAAATATGATAAGTTTAAATGTTAGTGTTTGTTATTTATATTTGATCTGCAATATGAGAAACAATAAGAAAGACTGCAAGTTGTCAAGTTCATGTCCTGAAATAGAACCTCTCAGTATACATCAGTTATTTTATCTGTCCACCGGTATGCAAGCTAAGATTTAACATTTTCGTGTGTACGCATGCAAGATCACATTTATTGAGTATTTACCAAAATTCAAGCCTACTTGTCCGCAACAGACTTAATAGGAATTGAGTTTTCACATAAATATTTATGTAATTCACGCAGATACGCAGCTTATCTGTACCTCTGTAGAGCCATAAAGCAGCTCACTTGACCCTTTTCTTGAAAATTTGAAATATTTAATTATAAAAGTCATAATCAAAGAGTAAACAAGAACATGCCAATACATGTATATGTAACAGCAGTTTTGATAGACCAAAACAGCATTGATATTTCACATTTCGACTTGCCAGAAATAATGGCAGAAATAATGCTGATGCGTTAAATTTTAACTCACTCACCAGCAGGGACACAAATATGACAAGAAAACCAAACATATATCCCATAATAGTCAGCATGCTGCATAAAAAAATTCAGAAACACCCATGCGAAATTGCTGAGAACCTAAGAAATTTGGTATCATGTTAAGGTGAGATAAAACGTAAACATGTAATTTTCTGAATAAATTTGATATTTTATACTTATCCTGACTCATGCTTATTGCTTGTCTCCCTTTCCTTCCGAATGCTAGTGGAACACTTGAATCCCCTTTTGAAGCTCCCTTCAAAAAAGCGGACGTAAAATCACTTACCAGGAGTCATCTCCCTTCTCAGGTTTTGGCGGGAAACGGCGCCACCTGTCTCCCATGCTCCTCACTCTCTCCATATTTTACAGCCCGACACACTGATTTACTGGGAAATCCAGAGTGCCTTGAGGGGAGGTTGGGAGGGCTCACCTCATGAGTCAGGATAAGTATAAAATATCAATTTTATTCAGAAAGTTACATATTTTTCCTTATCCTGACTCATGCTTATTGCTTGTAGAATCCGACGGAATTGGTGGTGGGTCAAGCCACTTCTGGATTCCTTAGTGATGAATTTACGTCCTATTTACCTCCCATGGGAACTTTTGATGGCACTGCTGCGGCTGTTGATCCATATGTCGAACTTTATCTGGTAAATTGGGGGGACCACAATATATCAAACTCTTCTGTAACCGTACATGTGGATTTCAATAACTCCAACTCTTGATGTTCGTATCAAGTGGAGCAGTGACCCTATCCGTGTACAAGTAATTCCTGACAAGTACATGGTCTAATATTCATGCTAGTCTGTTCTAGACGTATACATGGACTATAAGCTCTATTCCTTGGAGTATGAGCTTTGCATGACATGCAGTAAAGGGGTGAGATACATCTCAGCGCCTTTGCGGGACCGTCAGCTGTTGTGCTACAACCAGAGGCCCAAACTGGTGGATACCGGAGACGTCCTCGGTAGCGATGTCTCTGAGGTAGTGGTTAGCAAACATTGTCTCCGATTTCCAAAAACACCCTTCCATGATCATGGAAATTGAGCAGTTTCCATGTAGAGCGAGTGTAGATGCCAATGCTCTAACTTCGTGAGGGCTGGAGGCTTGTGGAGGCTCAAGTCCTGCTGCCTTGTAGGCTCGTAGTATGATTGCTCTCATCCAAACTGATATCGTAGTACGTGAGATCTCTGTGGGTGTCTCCGATGATATGGGGATGAAAAGGCTTTTGAATTTTCGTCTCCTGGTTTTAGACTTTTGTAGATAGATTTTCAGTTCTCTGACTGGACATAAGGATAAGTCTTGTATATCCTGTGGACCAAGGATTGTAGATAATGCTGGGATGTGGAATTGTCTGTCCGGTTGACCTGGCAGTTGATTCTTGGCTATGAAATCCCATCTCAATCCTAGATGAACTATGTTGTGACGTGTGTCAAAACGTATTCTTTCGAAGTCCAGAGCATGTATTTCTGACATCCACGCCGCTGTTGCCAAGGCGATCAGAAATAGTAAGAAATTCGTAAGAAGTTCTTTCTAGTGGTTCGTACGCATCACTGGTGAGATGTTGTAACACCACGTTGAGATCCCAAGCCGATGCTTCAAATTTCCTTTGTTTGTCTTCCAGTTTAAAAGAACGTAGCAAGGCCAGTAACTCTGGCACTTTCGTCAGTTTCACGCCTGTCTTCATAGTGATAACTGAGCTGAGAGCCACTAGGTATGTAGATAATGTTGAACCTTTTAATCTCTTTATTTGTCTGAGATGACAAAGATATTCCGCCACTTGAGGATGTGTTGCTTTCACTGCTGTGAAACCTTTCCTCGATGCATATTTCTCAAAGCTTTGCCACTTGTCGTCATACAAGTTACGAGTAGATCTGCGTAAAGCTAGTGTAACTGCCTTCGCTGCTCTGGCGGAGTATCCTCTTTTCGACAAGCAAGTCGTGATACGTTCCATACGTGTAGGTGGAATGATCTGGGATACTTGTGAACTTGCGGTACCTGTGGTATTAACGCTGGCGGAGGGAACGCATACACGTTTAGTCCTTCCCATGGGATGCTTAAAGCGTCTGTTGCCCATGCTTGCGGATTGGGAATTGGAGAGACGAATGTTGCCAGTTGATTGTTGAATCTTGTGGCGAATAGGTCTACGAGTGGAGATCCTATCGTCCGTATGATGCATCTGAATGTTTGTGGATGTAACATCCATTCTGTTGGGGATGGTTGATGTGGTCGAGATAGCGCATCTGCTATTACATTCTTGGCTCCCGGAATGTGACATGCTTTCACATAGATGTTCAGATTGTCTATTATGTTGAATAGTTGAAAGCTCAGGTCTAGAAAATTACGAGATCTTGTTTATCCTTATTTGTTTATGTAGAACGCCACTGTTGAGTTGTCCGATGGATCATCAATTTTGCGTTTCTTAGTATGTTGGACCAATGTAGTAGGGCATTTACTACTGCTTTCATCTCGAGCATGTTGATATGCAGATTCATTTCTTGTTTCGACCATTTCCCGGCAGCCACTTCGTTGTCGAGGTGTGCTCCCCATCCTTGCAGGTGGACGTTGCACTCTGGCTCTATTAAGTAATTTCTGCCGCAAACATTCGACTTCTGAGTCCACCATAGTAGATATGGTTTTAGTCTGTCTGGTGTTTCGAAGGGATCCAGACTGTGTAAGTGAGTGTTCACAAATCTCTGTAGTGGACGCAGTTGTAGTCTTCCTCTGTGCGTCATGTCTTGAGCTGACGTGAGGAGACCTAATAGGCTCTGCCATTCTCGTAGTGGTAACGGAGAGAGTAGAACTTGAGAGATCATTTGTTGTATCTTGATCCAACGATCCTCTGGAACGAGAATGCGATTCTTCGTTGTTATAAGCCGTATTCCTAGGAATTGTAAGTCCTGAGTAGGCTCTATTTCCGACTTGAGGAGATTTACTAGCCATCCTAGTTGAGTGAGAAGTCTGATGGTGAAGTTCAATTGCAGTCTGAGTTGACTGGGATCTTGCTGAGCTTGAATCCCGTCGTCTAGGTAGAGCGACTCGCGTGAGACCTCGACGATGTAGATATATATTGATAGGCTTTGTCACTCGAATAAACAACCAGGGGGCTGACGATATTCCAAATGGCAGGACCTTCCATTGGAAATGACGTCCGTTGAACAGGAATCGAAGATATTTCCTTGACTCTGGATGGATCGGGAAGTGTAAGTATGCATCCTGTAAATCTATGCTGGCGAGGTAGTCTAGCCGACTTATAAGATGTCGTAGTTGTGGCAGATGTATCATCTTGAACTTTGCGGGTGTTAGCAGGTAATCTTTGTTGAATTTCCTCATGTTGTAAATGAGTCGGAACTTTTCTTTTGAGTTTTTCTTTGGTGCCAGAAAAATTGGGGAGTAAAAACCTGGTGTGACGCAGTCCTGTTTTATCTCTTCTATTGCCTCTTTCTCTAGTAGAGATGTGATGGCTTCTAGTAGATTTCCCTTCTGGTCTGCAGCGTAGTTGTGAACCAGTGGGTTGATTGTTACTGGTGGTACTGCTTGTAGCTGTATCCTGTAACCTGTGCGTAGAATCTGAGATATGAAGTCGTCTTGAAGAATTCCCCAATTCTTCCAGTAGAGTTGCAGACGTCCACCCACTTGTGAAGGTTGTACTGGAACGGCTGGGGGTGGAAGACTCAAGTCATTCCGAACCCGTTTTTCATCGTCTGGAACTTCTGACACCTCGAAAGGGCCGACCTCTTCCGTAGTTACCTCTTGGAGCTGCGGATGGGCGACTAAAAGAATCCTTATTCCCTTTAGCGTTGCCTAATTTCTTATCCCTTGCTCTCTGGATGCCTGCAAACTTCAATTTGCCGGAATAACATTGGGAGGTCTGACGTATCACACTGGCCAGTGTATCGATAGACTTGATCATCATCACCTCTCTGGAATCTTTAGCGACTTCTTTGGCGACTTCATCAATTTCTCCTGCAAAAATGGATGGTGCTGACCAAGGGGCTCTGTAGAGTGTCTTGGTAAATTTCTCGCTCCAAGTACAGGAACAGTCCTTGCCTTCTTGATAATGTTAAGCCTGCAGAAATGGATCATAGGTGTTCAGACATGAACTGATGATCCTTTTTCTGTGTAAGTAGAGCTGAATAAACCATTCGATTTTCATCTGAAGTTGAATTCTTAAACTTCGAGATGAGGGTCTCATTGATAGCTCTTGACCTGGCTAGGCCGAAGAAGGTTCGTCTGGTTACTGTGTCTAACTGTGCCAGCTTTTTATCTTCTATCTTGTAAGATTTCGTCCGAGTGTCGTTGATGATCTTATAATTCTCGTCTATCTCTGGAGCCTTCATGAAGGGTTCCATATGGTGTAGAGAGAACTTCTTAGCGTTGAACGACGGAATACTCTGAGTCTGGTATTTAGTTGCCTTCTTGAAGGCTGTGCTGAGGTTGTCTGGAACGTCTGAGACAGGGTCGATAGGTGGCATCGTGAGTGTGTCTATATCATCATTCAACATCAAGTACGATAGTGCTTCGTTGGTCTCCTTAGAGGGTGATGGGAGTTCCAAACCGTTGGCCATCCATGACTTGATTTCAGAGTCGGAAAATATAATTCCGCAGTCATCTTCCTGCTCTGAGGATAGATGTCTTCTAGTGTCATCTGACCGAGGAGATCTGTAAGGTGATCTGTAAGACGATCTATGTGGTGACCTGCGTGGCGATCTGTAAGGCGACCTGCGTGGTGACCTTCGTGGCGAACCATACGTTCGTGAATGTGTTAGTGACTTCCTTCGTGGGGACCTGCGTGGAGATAGAGATGATCGTGCGCGCCTTAGCGCGAACCTGCGCGTAGGTGAACAGCTTTGTCGAGGGTTGGAGCCTTGTGACGAATCTCTATGTCTTTGTACGGGTGTTGATTCTCTTCTCCTTGGTAACGAACCGTTACGTGCAGGTTCGTGACGAACGTCCGTATCTGAAGTCGATGATGATCTACGTGGGTTCAGCGAACGTCTAGTCCTTCCGCGAACGTAGTCGGTGCAGGTTCCACGTTGGTATGGCTGCCAGATATTCGTGCGGACGCTGTAGTCGAGCTGGAATCTTCCTGTACGCCCTGCAGGACGTTGGTTCAGCTGGTGTGCAGCTCAGTTGACCTTCACTCGGGTTCACGCTGTCTTCGTCGCAGCTCTCTTGCGTGCAAACCGTTGTTCCATCAGATCCAACATTTGTCGGGTAAATTGCTGCATAAAGGCGCCCGGGTTGAAGGTCTGCGTTGTCTGTTGTAACGACGACGCATCTGAGACGGATGAGGCTTCTTCTACCGTGGTCACGGTAGAAGACGCCTTCGTCTTCTTCTTAGATGTGATCTCAGGGATGAGGATGGGCGGCTCATCGTAGACATTTATTTCTTCCAGAGGGACGATCTCAGCTGAAAAAGAGCTCGTTTTCTGCGTTGCCCCATGTGGAGACTTCGACGAAGTCTTAGTTGTAGCTGACTTCTTCCTCTGGGAAGATGATGCCCTAGTCTTCTTAGACTGCGATGAGGAATTATCAGATGTAGATGACCTCTTCCTCGAGCCAGCGTTGTCTACGGCAGCAACCTCCTCCGTAGACGACCCCGGTAGACCACTGGAATGGTGAATCTGCGCAGACACCAACTGCCGGTCCTCTGCAAGCTTAGCACATGTCGTGTAAATCTCGTCTGGACCTTTCCTTTGCACGTCTAGACAGATAATATGAATATTTGTAAAATGCAATATCAGACAGGTGAAAACACAACTGACAACGAGAGTCAGATAAACATACGGGCTTGCAATTAGGACATAGGTTATGTGGATCAACAGCAGACAACCGATACCTACAACCAGAACAAGATTTCATCAATTGTAAACAATCTGAACAGTCACGTAAAAACGTGATAAAACAGAGAAATTTGAGAAATAATTCTGTAGAATATTGTAGGTAAACGTTAACTAAAGCCTTATACAGCTAATTTAGAAGAAAAGCCTAAATAATAAAAGGATAAAATGCCGTATAGGGGACCAGGTGTTCTCACAACCGCCCACTCGGGCGAATCAGGAGAGAGTGAGGAGCATGGGAGACAGGTGGCGCCGTTTCCCGCCAAAACCTGAGAAGGGAGATGACTCCTGTTAAGTGATTTTACGTCCGCTTTTTTGAAGGGAGCTTCAAAAGGGGATTCAAGTGTTCCACTAGCATTCGGAAGGAAAGGGAGACAAGCAATAAGCATGAGTCAGGATAAGGAAAAATACTAGATCTTACTGTCCGTTTGACTTGTGTACCATGTGCATGTTTGCACAGTTCCTCTTACCGTTTAAGATGTCAACTGGTCGATGTAACAATATGATAGTTTCTTTAACAACTTTTTCCAGTAATGTGTATTAAAATATATAGCAGATATTGCCATGTAGGATACTGACATTTAATACACTATTCCTGCAATATATTGTTCATATTTGGACACAAACTAACTGTTGGACAGCAAAGATAAATTTCTCTGACGTGACGTGTCTGCTAAATTTCAGGGAACGTCAGATCATGATAGCCCAACAGATTAGCAATGCATGTAATTCACTGTCATAGACAATCTTTGATCATCACAGAGAAATCAACACTGCACAATAAAACACCATTCATACTTATATTGAAAAGTTGCAAGGCTGAACATCACACATTAAAACACCATTTATACTTATGTTGAAATGCGCTCTGACGCCAACTTACTGACTAAAGGCAGACTTGGCGCTATCTTTGGTCGTAACCTGGGTCTGTTTGGATTGGCGAATGAGCTGTCTGTCACGTGCATCACGTTGTTGTAGCTAACCTGCATGTTAGGTGCCTTGCCAGAAGTATGGACATTGAAGCAGGCACCATCTGGAGCTGAGCAGAAATGGAAACTAGTTACAAATGGTGAAGGTGAGGAGCTAGGAGACCTGTGTGTGATTATAAACAAGCTACTTCAATATATACCAGGTACTCGTTATCACAAGCATGATCATCAATCTACTTCAATATAAGGCCAGGTACTCATTATCCACAGAAAGATCATCAAGGTACTTCAGTATAAGGCCAGGTACTTGTTATCAACCGTAAGATCATCAAGGTACTTCAATATAAGGCCAGGTACTCGTTATCCACAGTAAGATCAAGGTACTTCAATATAAGGCCGGGTACTCGTTATCCACAGAAAGATCAAGGTACTTCAATATAAGGCCAGGTACTCGTTATCCACAGTAAGATCATCAAGGTACTTCAATATAAGGCCAGGTACTTGTTATCAACAGTAAGATCATCAAGGTACTTCAATATAAGGCCAGGTACTCATATCTACAGTAAGATCATCAAAATACTTCAATTTAAGGCCAGGTACTCCTTATCCACAGTAAGATCATCAAGGTACTTCAATTAAGATCATCAAGGTACTTCAATTTAAGGCCAGGTACTCCTTCTCCACAGTAAGATCATCAAGATACTTCAATATAAGGCCAGGTACTCATTATCCACAGTAAGATCATCAAGGTACTTCAATATAAGGCCAGGTACTCCTTCTCCACAGTAAGATCATCAAGATACTTCAATATAAGGCCAGGTACTTGTTATCAACAGTAAGATCATCAAGGTACTTCAATATAAGGCCAGGTACTCATATCTACAGTAAGATCATCAAAATACTTCAATATAAGGCCAGGTACTCGTTATCCACAGTAAGATCATCAAGGTACTTCAATATAAGGCCAGGTACTTGTTATCAACAGTAAGATCATCAAGGTACTTCAATATAAGGCCAGGTACTCCTTCTCCACAGTAAGATCATCAAGGTACTTCAATATAAGGCCAGGTACTCATTATCCACAGTAAGATCATCAAGGTACTTCAATATAAGGCCAGGTACTCGTTATCCACAGTAAGATCATCAAGGTACATCAATATAAGGCCAGGTACTCATTATCCACAGAAAGATCAAGGTAATTCAATTTAAGGCCAGGTACTCATTATCCACAGAAAGATCAAGGCACTTCAATTTAAGGCCAGGTGCTCGTTATCCACAGTAAGATTATCCACAGTATCTACAGCAGATCATCAACCTATCAATATACTTCAATATAAGGCTAGGTGCTCGTTATCTACAGCATGATCATCAACCTACTTCAATATAAGGCCAGGTGCTCATTATCCACAGTTAGATCATCAATCTACTTCAATATAAGGCCAGGTACTCATTATCCACAGTAAGATCATCAATCTACTTCAATATAAGGCCAGGTACTTGTTATCCACAGTAAGATCAAGGTATTTCAATATAAGGCCAGGTACTTGTTATCTAGAGCATGATCATCAAGGTACTTCAATATAAGGCCAGGTACTCATTATCCACAGTAAGATCATCAATCTACTTCAATATAAGGCCAGGTACTTGTTATCTAGAGCATGATCATCAATCTACTTCAATATAAGGCCAGGTACTCATTATCCACAGTAAGATCATCAATCTACTTCAATATAAGGCCAGGTACTTGTTATCCACAGTAAGATCAAGGTACTTCAATATAAGGCCAGGTACTTGTTATCTAGAGCATGATCATCAATCTACTTCAATATAAGGCCAGGTACTTATTATCCACAGTAAGATCAAGGTACTTCAATATAAGGCCAGGTACTTGTTATCTAGAGCATGATCATCAATCTACTTCAATATAAGGCCAGGTACTTGTTATCTAGAGCATGATCATCAATCTACTTCAATATAAGGCCAGGTACTCATTATCCACAGTAAGATCATCAATCTACTTCAATATAAGGCCAGGTACTTGTTATCCACAGTAAGATCAAGGTACTTCAATATAAGGCCAGGTACTTGTTATCTAGAGCATGATCATCAATCTACTTCAATATAAGGCCAGGTACTTGTTATCCACAGTAAGATCAAGGTACTTCAATATAAGGCCAGGTACTTGTTATCTAGAGCATGATCATCAATCTACTTCAATATAAGGCCAGGTACTTGTTATCTAGAGCATGATCATCAATCTACTTCAATATAAGGCCAGGTACTCATTATCCACAGTAAGATCATCAATCTACTTCAATATAAGGCCAGGTACTTGTTATCCACAGTAAGATCAAGGTACTTCAATATAAGGCCAGGTACTTGTTATCTAGAGCATGATCATCAATCTACTTCAATATAAGGCCAGGTACTTGTTATCTAGAGCATGATCATCAATCTATTTCAATATAAGGCCAGGTACTTGTTATCCACAGCATGATCATCAAGGTACTTCAATATAAGGCCAGGTACTTGTTATCTACAGCATGATCATCAATCTACTTCAATATAAGGCCAGGTACTCGTTATCCACAGTAGGATCAGCAAGGTACAAGCCAATGAACGTATGAAGTATTTACCTGTGTATTTGACGTATGTTTTGGTGTTGCCGCTGTCTTTGCTGGTGCTCCCACCACAAGCTCCTGACTTCTCAGCAGATGCATCTTCTTCTACCTTCTGCATAAAGACAAGTTATTGCCAACAACTCAGACCTGAACACAATAATTATGAAAGTCAGTTTTGATCTGATCCCCTGACCTAGCAAGAAGCAGAAAGATCAACTTGACGAGAATACTTTTTATCACATCAAGGCACAAATTTCCACATGTGCATGGAAAACAGAAACCAGGAACGCTCTTATCATTTCATGTCAGAATGGACGGACACATTCCTATGACTTTTATATGTTTCATTTAAGATAAAAGTCAACTTATGATAAATTATACCCTCATTTTGGTGAATATTCTTTAAATTTTGGGTAATGGAACCTCCAAACTAACATAAAAAGTTCCTTTAAGAAATTATTGTTATATTCAGGGTTGCCAGGCAACATGTCAGGTGCTAGTTAATAAGAAGTGACAACTGACAACCATAAATAAATAATGTTTATGTGTTACTGCTTTTCATATCTTGAGAAATTCTTTTCTACACATCCTGGATGTTAATCAGACTAGTTGTGTGAGGAGCCACAGATTGTATTCTTTCCAAACATCCTGGTGGTGTCTATTTCATTCAGTGTCATCTCAGTGAGTGAGTATGGTTTTACTCAGCTTTTAGCAATATTCCAGCAATATTATGGCGGGACACCAGAAATGGGCTTCACACATTGTACCCATGTGAGAAATCAAACCCGGGTTTTCGGTGTGACAAGCTAACGGTTTAACCACTAGGCCACCCCACCGCCCTTGTCAAGTGAGGATGTACCCATGAAAACATCATCATTATTTGGACTGTTGCAATTCCGAGGATCAAACTGTAACCTTATTCAATTCATTATTCATGATCACTATATCGTACATTCAATTATTTTTAAACAATCGTTTTTCCCTTGAAATGGTTATTAATCAAAGTGTGATAAATTGGAATATATCCAGGCCAAAGCATGATATGATAGTCAGCACTGTTACCTGTTTAATTTGACAATTACATGACCACTGGTCATTGTTGTGATAACATAACACTGTCAACGTGGTCAAGACATGTCAGATACATATTTTGTTATTGTTTCATTGAATATAATGAATAACATGAATAATACATCAACTGCTGACTTGTTACTGTATTCATGAAACAAATATTTGTATTCATTACCCCATATTTATGATATGTATCGTATTCACCTCCTAGTGGATTTGTTGCAGCCCTAGTAATTATCAAACGCAGATCATACATTTACCACTACTCCTCTATGCCCCTGATGACCTGTAATAAGTGTCTGATTCTTCAGAGCTTGTTATTGCGTTGGGAAAGCCTAGTGGTTAAAGCGTTTGCCCGTCAAGCAGAAGATCCGGGTTTGATTTCCCACATGGGTACTACAATGTGATATTGCTGGAATATTGTTAAAAGCGGCGTTAAACTAGACTCACTCACTCATTTCTTACCTCTGGCATACTTGGCCCGGACATGATCTGTATCCCTGGGTCTGCTGATCTGTACATGTGAAAACAGGACACATAGTGCTTTATATTGGCTACATTACATTCTTGTCTTGTGAAGATATTAAATGTAACATAAATCTTTTCAGTGTTTTGAAGTGAATCGACTGTCTGTGGTCAAAGTCATGATAGAAAAACAACAGATACACAATATTGATAAATTCTATAATGATTCCCCTATTTTTTTTTAGATTAGAAAAATAATATGCTATGACACAACATATAGTGGTAATTATATTACACTAAATGGGGATTAAGGTAGGTAACAAATACTTAGCATTCTAGACTTGCATGAGCTACATTTGTTTCAGGGTCTGTATGACAGACTAGTGATCTTTTCATAACAACTTTGGTTACAAAAGCAGAATCAGTGAGTAAATTGGAGTAGATGCAGTAATTTCACAATTATCTGTGTTTACATGTTTACCTTAATTTAGATTGAATACTTGTTTTAAGAAGAACATTAAGAAACATACATGGTGCTATTTTTACTCAAAATTCTAGCTGTTTTGACTTAGGCAAAGTGTTGTTTTTTCAAACAGGTGACCTTTCAGCAATAACATTATAACGTGTGACCAACATATTTATATATGTCGATGTTTGTTTATTGTTTAGTACCTATGTAATTTTCCAGCTATACAATTATATGACAGCAATCTGTAAATATTCCAGTGATTGTCATAATGAGAAATCATGTACACATTTGGGATAAGATGACATGCATCGACCTAGCCTTACTACCCGATCTGTTAGTGGCCTGTTTATGACAAGCATGGGTTGCTGAAGAACAATTCTAACTCAGATATTCACCGGTGAGATATTTGCTGACACTTTGTCTCCAATATATCAGTTGAATACATAGTTCAGCCAGCTAAACGTCTTGTTCCTATATATATATACACTGTCGGTGTATACCTTGGTAGGAACAAGAAGTTTAGCTGGCTGAACTATTGAATACAAAACTACATTAAGTTAAAAATGTCACTGATTAAAAAGCCATGGTGCACAAGATTATAGCGTGAACATGTAGATTTTGTTCCTGGCAGTTACTAATTCACTTAATTACACAGTACACAAAGTAAAGCATTGGCGGATCCAGAGGGGGGTTTGAAAATGACTTAAAACCACATTGAAGATTTGTTTTGCGTTGGCGGAGCCTATGGGGGGTTCAGTGCGTTCGAGCCCTTGAAAAAAAACCAACCCCCCTTTTCAAAATTCCTGGATCCGCCCATGTAAGTGATGTCATTTATCACACTATCTTGTTCTAGACTGGAAACTGTCACCAGCGTGTGATTGTGAAGCATATCTGGAGTTAAGTCACTTTCTACTCTCTTTGGTTGAAGTAATGTAGAATTGTTATCCCACACCTGGATGTCGGTAGTCATATTTGGCTAAAAACCGGACCAGGCCGTGAATAACACAGTCATCATGATAACTATAGTCGTAACAAAATGATTGACATCTGCTAAAACACGTATAATTTTCAGCGAAACAAACAAACAGCTTACGTTTTTCCCCGATAGAACCATAAATGCCCTCCCGGCAACACGGAACTATTGAAACGAAAGTAAACACTGCGCATTGTCGGAAATAAACTTGGATGCTGTCTTTGTGTTTTTTCAATGTTCCACTGGGCTAGTATACACGCTGTAAGGAGCTCGTGATGTTTCAATCGCATTCAGAATGTGTAACCAGTCCACAAAGGAACGTATTTAAGAGTTACCTCCCTTGCCATTCGCAAAAGTGGGCTTTCCATTATTATTTCAACTCGTTGCCCACGCTTGGGAACTTTGGAATGACTGATAGTCCATTAGTAAATTTAAAATATAGGAGAACCCGATAGTGTTCTCCGTTGGTTAGGGCAAACGTATACATATTACACACTGAATTTCCCAAAAGAATTTTGGATTTCACGGGACACCAAACAGGCACAGAAGTTGGCTCATAGAAATTATTTTAGAACGCGCCACTGAAATATCAGAGTGAACAATTCTTTTGTCACATACAAAGTAGAATGGAATGGGTTCAATCTAGAACGTTTGACATAACTTGGTACTCGTGTACCGTTTTTAGTAGTGAGTGACTTTACTTTTACGCCGCACTCAGCAATATTCCAGCTATATGGCGGCGGTCTGTAAATAATCGAGTCTGGAGCCGACAATCAAGTGATCAACAGCATGAGCATTGATCTGCGAAATGGGGAACCGATGACATGTTTCAACCAAGCCAGCGAGCCTGACCACCTGATCCCGTTAGTCGCCTCTTACGACAAGCATGGGTTGCTGAAGGTTCATTCTAACCCGGATCTTCACGAGTCTCTTTAGTAGTGGGTTAGTTTAGTTGTACGCCGCTTTTAGCATTATTTAAGCAATATCACGGCGGGGGAAACCAGAAATGGGCTTCACACATTGTACCAATAGGGGAATTGAACCCGTGTCTTCAGCATGCCGGGCGAACACGTTAACAACTAGGCTATCCTACCGCCCGTTTTCAAGTATGTGGACCGAATTTGTCTTGAAAAATATCACAACACGATAAGACTGTATGGGTTAGTAGCGTGCATGTGTGTGTCTTGGAAACGGACGACAAAAATATTCTGTCTCAAGCCAAACTTGGACAGGAAACTTTAACTTGCCATTCATTACCACCTATATCATCATGTTTAATTTAAGTGAAACTGCATGAATTACCCTTTCTCCAAACACGACAACATACCCTCCAGTGACAGGTAAATGGGTTGTTCCATTATTTTCTAGGTTAAAAAGCATTTCCCATTCTGCCTACAGTAATTTTTGTAGGCAAACTGGGATGTAGGCAAATTGGGATTGTTCAAGCTCACAATATGAATATTACACGATCTTTAAAACGTTACTCCAGCCAGAAAAAATACTTATCAATAATTACAACATATAGTTTAAGAACAATGTTCGTAAAGTATCGTTTAGGTTTGTTATCTTTAAATAATGATTAATGAGGGTAGAAAAACCTCCGTCCAGAAAGAAAGTCGCTATTGTCCTTTATGTTACGTAGGGATAGAAAATGAAATCCATTATACGCTGATATGTCCTTGTTATCACGAATTAAGAAAGAAATATATACCAGTTGCAAAACAACCCCATTATGCATATATATCTTTGTTACAAACTAATAATGAAAATATTCTTGTTCAATTGTCTTTGTATATAAAGCATGCATTAGCTAAAAGAGATCTTTTTATAAAGCGAATCGTATACCCTTAAATATATATGTAAATATCCAGAATATTCCTTTATCACTGTAACTCTCATGTATATGGACCGGAGGCCTTTCATACAATATACACCTTTTGACTTTGACTTGACTTTGGGATTGTTGGCAGAGTAGGATGTAATCGTATTGTCAGACGTCCTAGAGCAGTGAACCTGTGGTATTAACGCCGATCGTACGAATCAAACGAAGCTGTATAGTATGCTAGCTCCAAACCAAAACTTTCTTCAAGACGTCTTAGGAATCAAGACGTTATATTATGGGACCAGTATTATAGTCTTTAAACCACGGTTATATTGAACTAAATGGGACCACTAATTATAGTCGTTTGTTATACCTACGGTTATATTGAAGTTTGACCACTAATTATACATTAACATTACGGTTATATCGAACTAAATGGGACCACTAATTGTAGTTCGTTACAACTACGGTAGTTGGTCTAATTATAGTCGGTCCATCATAGAACTAAATGGGACCACTAATTATATAATAGATTATATTGTCTCTGGGTCCATTAACAATAGCTCATTATAAACGCACTTTTCTGTACTAGACCATATAATAGATTATATGGTGAACTTTTAATACAGACGGGGTATATGGCATATTGACATATTTCACACTTTAAGTAGAAGGTAAAATATCGGAGCATTTAGTTATTACTACATGTAATATTCCAGGGGCGGATCCAGGATTTTGGGGAAAGGGGGTAGTGGGGGTGCGCAATTTGGCAATTCTTTTATCTTTGTTTGGCAGTGATATGTCAGGTCATGTAAATGCATCGATACCACGGTTCTCGAGCTTTGTGACGTTTTTGTATTGTTATGTGTTTGGCCACTGAAGCATATATATGATTCACATTCATATATATGAAAGCAATTATTATACGTATACACAATACCATTTAAAAAGTGGTCAAATGTAACAATGTTATATTTGGGATTGAAGTGAAGTACAGATTCTAGTACTTTTGATGGGTTGAGTCCCATCTGGGATTCAACCCGCTCAGAATCAGGCACCTAATCGCCAGCGCAGCACCCACTCAGGCACCGCGGTATCTACTATATGTGATATATGTTATTCCAAAACAAATATCTTTAAGAGACTGAAAGTAATTAGTTGCCATAACCTGTTCATGCTTCACATATCTTATAAGTGTTAACGTCGTTCATGTTTTAGAAATACATAACTAAATTGATATTTTTTGTAAAAGAAATTGTATAGAGAACACATTATGCAACAGAGACTAACCATGGCCGTCTCCATGACCCAAGGGAATAAACTAAACAAGAGTTGCCAAGAGATGACAAATAATCCATCTCTCACAAATTTGACAGAGGTGATCACTCGTGAAGATCCCGGTTAGAATGTATCTTCAGTAACCCATGCTTGTGGTAAGAGGCGACTAAGGGTATCGGGTTGTCAGGCTCGTTGACTTGGTCGACACAATGTCATGTCATCCTATCCTCTTTGCGTAGATTAATGCTCATGTTGTTGATCACTGGATTGTCTGGTCCAGACTCGACTATTTACAGACCGCCGCCAAATGGCTGTAATATCGCTGGGTGCGGCGTAAAACTAAACTCACTCACTCACTGAAAGATATGATTAAGTCCTACAAGAGACATATGTACGACTTCATGAGAGTATATATATGGATGTTAGAAATGGTAGATGACTTATGACTTAGCAGACAAAACAAAAATTCTAAAAATCCCTACATATCAAAAGGCACCTGTTGACAACCTGGTCAATGTATTTTCGTGAATAAATACTTATTAGTTCCAGTGATATGGTCCGGACGAGGACACAACTACACAGGGCGGAAGCGCTGTCCACGCGAAATGTGGAGGAGCCCCAAAAGCAACTCCTTTTCCTCGCTGGACAGTGAAAGAAGAACATGTGACGCAAGAGTAATGGTAAGTTTTCCCTCGCATTTTCCTTATTTTGCAAGTATATCAGGTTTTGTCATTTAGCAGACGGGTCTAGAAATATGTACAGGTCTTTCTATAACAGCTTGACACCCTCACTATTTATTGCAATTACGCGTTAAGCGAGGGCACCCTCCTGAGTGTCGAAACAAGATCGCGGAAAATACAGACTTGGCAATGGAAACGGTAGTTGTTGTGATGGATCCCCTAAATGCTATGTTCACACTATCACGATTCACACTATCACATCTTCTTCTTTCACTGTCCAGCGAGGAAATGGAGTTGCGTGGACAGCGCTTCCACCCTGTGTAGTAGTCTCCTCTAGGGCTGGGACGGGTAGGAAAACGTGGAATCGAGTACCCGCATCTACTTACCCGAATCGGAATCGAGTACCCAGAAATGTAAGGAATACAGCGCTTCTGTCAACTCTCTGAATATTCAATCACGAGTTGACAGAGATTATTATAGAAAACTCGAAAGGATGGCAATAAGACATTAAAACAGATCTTAGGCTATTTAATTTACGTCTGTTAAACCAATATAAAGAATAACACCATTACTTACATTTATCGTTAAAACACAGAACTTTTCGTTCCCGCTGTAACTGTAACTTTCACTACTAACTGCTCATGCGCAGATAAATTACACTCGTTAATAATAACCCCCATTAATCGGACAATACCAATGATGTAAATGAGTGTTGCGTCAATTATGAAAAAGACAAGTTATTATCTGCACTTGTCATGACAGAGTTCTCTCCTTTCCGGGTACTCGATTCCAAGAAATAGGACTCGATTCCAGCTGTACCCGACCCGGATTCGGGTACCCGAGTACCCGTCCCAGCCCTAGTGTCCTCGTCCGGACCATATCTCTGGAACCAATCAGTATCTATTCACGAACACTCTTTGAACTGACTATGAACTGAGCCAAACTTGTTGCCGTGGAACAGGAAGAATAAAATTCTAGAAACTCCTAAATAGTAAAAAGAAGGCCTGGGTAATCCGGATATTCGGAACGGGTGGGTAATGAGTTGGACCCGGGCACCCGTCTCGGTATCAACCTGTTTCGTCTTTTTTTTAAAGAGGTAAACAGTAGCAATTAGACGACCCAGGCATAGTCTGGGTTGAGTGACTTTGCTTGTTAGACGAAGTAGGCACGTGGACCAGTCCATTTCAAACTTAACAGGGGTGTTACCACAAAATAAAAACAAAGACAACATAAAATATTTCATTGTGTATTTTTATTATTTATTATTTTAATGTACTTATTTGCATATATATCTCACACATATATAACATTCGCAAATATATAGAAATATATTTTATCATATATTTTTACTTATATTATAGTTAGCTACACAAACATCTGCAACTTATCACCACACACACACATATATATAAAGTATATATCTTTCATTATACAAAAATATACATAAATATATTTTATCATATAC